GATCGCAATTGACATTCATCGCAATGAAACTGTGCGAAGAACAAAGTATTTACATAATATGAGTGGCTGGATTACTACTAACAAGGCTGCTATTTAGTTTTTTCGTCATGAGCGAGTCATAAAACATGAAATTATGCGAGAAATTATGTTCATTGTCGTCGACGTTGCTGTTACGTTCTCTGGCTTCTATAGCACTTTTTCTGTTTCTGTCTCGACCGAGAAAAAGAAAACAGATATCGCTGTGTGTATATTTCAGGCATCGATTGTGTGAATGGGGAGACTTTACTACAGAATTTACGGAAAAGAATGTGGAGGAAAAAAAAAAACTAAAACGGGGAATCATCGTTTGCCGGCGCCAAGACATCAGTCTCGCCACGTTGTCTACTTATATCGCTCCGTTTTGGACGAACGGTCGACGGTCGATTGGTATGCGTACATGTTATATTAACCCTCTTTGGTGTTTGTGATTCAGCCGCAGTGGATGCTGCAGAATATTCTGTGTGACGCCAATACACTGATAAATTGGCTGTATGGAAGACACTCGTAAATCGCTCCCGTTTTCATTCTTCTTTTTTTGCCCACCATATCGCAATGTTTTTGAGCAATAACGCCACTGCTTTTATTTGTATTCCGATATTGAAATGATGAAATCAGTCGATTTCTGGTTTTTATTAAAGTTATATGCCGTCGCCGCTATTCTATTCTTTCTTTCTATCGATTTTACCAACATCTATCGATTGACATCAGTATGATGCATGGTATGATGGAACTCTGATGGATTATTCAGAAATACTTTCATTTCCCTAAAATTAAACACTTGTTTTCAACAAAAGGCCCAATTAAAATGCCACAAAACTACCGCATAATAGTTTGACGGAATAAATGGAACGTGCTCAAATGTGAGTCGAATGGCTTTATCAAACGAGACATTCTTTTCCACCAAGATATTGGCTATGACTTAGCAACGATATGCATTAGTCATGCTCATGGTAGTCGAGCGTTGTTGTTTTTTTTTCTTCTATCGAATTATTTACAATTCATAGCGCGAACTATTCAGTTCATTCCCTCGCGTTGAGTTATTTCAATCGATTATTCTGCAATATTCTTGCGATGCGGACGGAGCTTCGGTCCAAAAAATGCAATATAAAAATGAAACTCATTGTCACGCTACAATTCACAGGAAATGAGACCACTCCAAGTCGTATACTTGAAAAGAATGCATTAGAACTGTATTGCTCTTTCTCTCGCTCTCTCTCTCTCTCGCCCTCTCTCTCTGAAGATTCATTTCATTGGTAAATGATGAACAACTAGTGCCATTTTTCCGTATCACTATCGATTTCTCTCTCTCTCTCTGTACATTGATTTTCATTTCTTTTTTAACTTAATTCACAATATTTTCGCTTTTCATATATTACGCTAAAGTGCACCAATAAAATTGACCCCTTTTCATAACGTGAATCAAATTTAACATTTTTTTACTACATATAAACTAGCGTGGCGACCATGCGGCAGATGATTACATTAAATCGAAAAACATTTTTATCGATGAAAAAAAAACACATAAATGCATGCATTACCCCTTCTCAAATTGTGTCTTTCTTCACTCACATGTCATTCACCATACAAGCACATGCACACTAACTTTTTGCGTTTGTCGCCGTTGTTGTTTTCATGCGCCTCATTATTACATTTTATCGATAACACAATAGAAAATGATTAAATTATCTATTTGGTTGTGATTCGAAGAAGCTTTTATTCGTCGTGGCCTGTGCGTGTATGTGTTTAGCTCGTCGGTCGTTTGTTCAATCGACGCTGACGACAATTTAGCGTTCCATAATTAGATTTTGTGAAAGTAAAAATCAAATTTCCGTTATGCTTTTTCCGGCTGATGGCATGTCTCTCTCTCTCTCTGTGTGTGTGTGTGTGGCGTGTGCGTTGTTTATAGCTAGCCGCCGTTTCAAATTTGCTTTTTAATGTTTCACATATTTCGTGATGACAGGAGGAGCAGCAAGGCTCCCTTCTTTTATCTCCTTTTTTCTGTTAGGGCACCATCGCAGCCAACACCAAGAGAGGGTATTTGAACCAGTCTTTAATTACATTTCCTTTATTCGGTGTGAGGCTAAGCTGCGAAACATATGACATTCATTAGTCAGAACGGATCAGTTAAATCATAGAGCTTAATAGCAAATGACATTTGGACCATCGTGACAAATATATTACGATACAAACTTCTGTCTTCTGGACAATGAGTGAAAGTACTCTATGAAATGTTTGAATGAAAGGCCATAATTTATAGTCGAGAACTACGCTAAAACATGTATCCGATTTCATGATTTTGAACGAAAAAAAAAACATTTACTTTGAAGTTGAAAACGATACAGACTCTCTCATTATCATAATTCTTTACCTATTGTGTGGTTGCTGTCCTTTTAGCGAATTGCGGCTAAATGACTTTTTGCCAGTCATTTTTTTTTTGGTTCAGTCAAACAAGAGAGACTAGTAGAGAGGGAGAGAGTGACGACACACACACAAAGCACGTTTTGCGCGCACTTTGGCATGATGCAAAACCACTCAAAAACTGTACGAGTATCAAATATTTTATAAGCTGCTTGTAAAACAGAGCGTATCGATTAAAATCTCAATGACATGACACATCATCGCTCAAACCATCGAGTCATTTGAACAAGTCTTGTGGTGTTCATTTTTCCGACTAAAACAGATTCTTAAAAACGATATTGAACCACCCTATTGTTATCGACGATGAATGGAAGAGCCGAGGAAAGAACTTAATCACGGAAAATCAATGTGAGTGAAATCGAGTCGTTGATAAAGGCTAAAAATCATTGTTACTGATTGACGTTAAACTCTTCGAGAAAATGTGATTTTGATGAATTCTCACTTTTATTGTTATGTTGATGACCGTAAAATGAATTTTTTTTTCTTTGAGCCAAATCATTTGACATTATTGCTCGAAATATTGAGTTCGGAAAGAAAAGCTTGCGAAAAAATACTGAATTATATCGTCATTTATCCTAAGTAAATATTGATGCAACGTAAATAAACGCCTTCTCTGCTGTTCTTGAATTGCCCTCTTGAAGAGTGTTTTCGCAGAAGAAATGACACTTTCTAGTTTGATTCCATCATGAATGGTCCTCAAAAATCGCTTATTTTCACATAGTATTTGATTCACAGCACATTTTATTCCCACATACAAAATGCAATTGTGTTGCCGACATTTAGACTATTATATCGTGTTATTAAGGCACTCGTAGTGTACGTGCTTCGAATTTTTTGCTCCCCCCCACTAAAATCTTCATTTTCGCTTGTATATTTTAAAGAAGTGTGTCACCACTTTTGAATTGAGACATTCAACTGGTAATTGCTTATGTGGTGTTGTCGATGAGAAAAAGCGAAACTTGCGATTGTATATGCATTTGGAGGGTCGTTGACCAAACAAAGGTCAAATAACAAATCACATATTGTTTGGTCTCAACTGAAGAATGCAACTAAATACCGGCAAATAGCTGTCGCGCATCTCTCGCCTTGTACTTGTCCGTTCAAATGGCAAATAAAAAGAGAATCGCCTTTGAGTGACGAATGGAGCGTGCTACCCATAATTCTCAATTAGTTATGACGTATACCGAAATCGATCGAAATGCTTGACGTTTTGCTTTATTGCTTTTTTCTCTCCGATTGTAGTGAAGCAACAGACATGAGTCTCCGATATCGAAATACGGCACAACACTACCGTTGTATGTTATGCAAAGCAATTTTATCAGACAATCGAAGTTATCAGACTCGAACGTATTTTTACAACGATTGGCTCTTACTCGGTGTGTGGCACACCAGGAATGCTCATTCCAAGTATGTGATATGCATTTTAAAATAGTTAGACCATTGTAATGCTGTGAGCGCGAATACACCAAACCAATGGAAGTGGGAGAAAGAGAGAGAGAGAGAGAGAGAGAGAGAGAGAGAGAGTCTACTCTACAAATGCACAACAAATTGCGATGCCATTGGAATAATAAATGCCTCGAGAAACGGTATGAGGTACTCAAGACGGAAATTAAACCATTGAAAAATGAAGAGCGTGAGAAAAATGAGATCAACTTCCAACGCTTTGCCCATTTTCATTCATTTCCGTGCCAACCGATATTGAATTAGTTTGAAAGAATACATGTCAATATCTTACGCACAATTCAAGTGCACACAACAATTTCGCATAATGTTCTACAGATTTGAATTTAGATTAAAAAGGTGTCAATCGGGAGTTATCTTTAATTTAGAGCAAGAATTTATTTCTTTTTTTTAAAAGTGGATTATCGATGAATTTTTGTTTCATTTTTCATTTTTTCTTCACAATTGATAGTCTTAATTGTGTGGAGCGACGAACTTACATTGAAATCTAATTTTGGCTTTTTTTCCCTTTTTTTAATCTAAATCCAAAAAAAAAAGTTCATTTCCATGGAATGCAATCATCAGTCTCTTGATGAAAATTCAACGGTTGAATTTTGATTCGTCGAAAAGCATTGCGGACAAATTCGACTTTGTTTGAAATAATCCTCTTAATAAATGTCTATTTTGGTACATTCGAAATTGCTTCAATTGTTTTGTAATGTAACACGAGTCTACTTCCTTTTCCCTTCTTGTCATTTCTTGAAGGGAGGATTTAATGTACCACCAGCCTCACAACAAATAAATCCAGATTAAATAACCCCAAAAAATAAACATCACTTTTGAGAAAAAAGAATTCGCGATTTCTAAACAATGCAAAGTAGAAATAAATAGGCTTATATTTTCGACCATATAGTAAAGTGCTTCTTATACGATTTGATTTCTATCAATTGCAAGAATGAATGGAAGAAAAAAAATTGTTTTTTTTTTTAAATTGGAATTTTGTGGAAACAAAAGGCTTGGAAAAAAATATGAAATTTAAAAATTAAATTTAATGAAAATGGAAACAAACAAAAAAACAACTCGTAAAATGATTTGATGCTTACCCTCCGAATTTGCTGAATACATTTGATGATCGCTCCTTTAATCCACCGAGTACTTCCATGTTTGTTCGTGTGAAAACTGAGATTTATTCCAGCGTTGTGATCGGTTCGAATGTGTTGTGAGAAACTAAACTTAATGTTTTTTTTTTAATGGTTTTGTTGAGTTTTTGGTTTGATTCAAAGCAGCATTTTTGATTAAATTATTTTTGCTCTTCAATTGTTATTGATATGATCCATTTGTATATATTTAAAAATCAAAATTTATATTGTAAATATTTTTATTGCGTTGCACACAATTTTTCTATTTATTTTTTTTTTTTTTTAATCGGAAATCACTTGAAGCAGACTCCAAAGAAAATATATTGCTTTAATTGGTTGTATAATTATTTTTTCTCAATTTAAAATTAATTTTCACTATCAATGTTGAACAAAAACGAAAACAATTAACAATTTCGATGAATAAATAGTATTTAATCGGTTTTGATGAATTCACAGGAGGAGTAGAGTGGGTGTTTGTGGAATTAAAAGAGCAAAAATAAATTGTAGTTAGATTTGGTGTTTCTATGATGGTGGTGCTGCTGCTCAAAATGAATGGCCTGTTCTATGGTCGTGATCGAAGCAGACAGCGTGATCTTGATTCTTGTCTTCCCAGCTAAACTCTGTTTGTAGCTCGTTGCTTGAGCAAAAGCCACCGAAAGTCGAGTCTTTCGTCTAGCTCACACTCAGACACTCACACGCGCGTTTCAAACACGAATATATTCACAGTTGGAAATTCCCAGTTTGTGAGAGCGCGACACACCACTGAAGAGTTGAACGGTTCGACGGTCGATTTACGTCTGCTGTGGATGCTTCATGTGTCTCTTTCCAGCTCGCTGCTGTGCTGGCACTTTGCATTGCAAACACAACGAGAGCAAAGAATGTCCTCAATCTACCCTCTCAACCACACGCCGCACTATCGGCGCAATCGCAACATCCACACACAGCCTGTGTACGGATTCGAGTTTTTATTCTTGTGCTGGAATTTTTGGGTGGAAACATTATTATGTTGCTACATGTATCCTTGTTTGGCTATGAACTGAAGGAGGTGGAGCTGCCTGACTTTGCTGCTAGATTCAAAATCATGACTGCGAGAGCAGAAGTAGAAGGAGAAACCAGCAAAAAAAATCAATTCTTTTCGTAGCAAATTTTCATTGATTGCTGCACGTGTACGATTGACGATAATTGAAAGAGAAAATTCCAGGGATTTTACATTCACTTTACTAATTAAAAGGCAATTTTTTTCTGCGCCATTATTCACTTTTACTGACAATAAAACGTTTGCCGTAGATGCAATGAAAATGATGGAACTTTTGAAATGCATTCAACACTTTGCGACGATGTCAATTGAACGTGTCCGTTTTGTGCATTGCATAATTACACATTGTACCCGACAATGCTGTTGCAAAAAGCATTCTGATTTTCATGTGAATGCATAGAAAAGAATTTGAACACTACATCAAAATTCAATGAAAAATTTCACACTAACTCTAACTGGCATACTTTTATTATTGACAATAATTACCTAATTTACGGAATGGTAGAAAAATGATGAAATGAATGGTTCCGATGGTAAAACTTGATGTTGAAAAAAGTGTATATTCAAAAATAATCTCTATCTTCATCGCTTTTTTTTCGAACAGCATTGATTTGTCTGACAACAACAACATTTCAACCATTCAAAACCAATTTTCAAATAACATTTAAACTGACACAACCAAATTGTGTTCTGTCAAACTTTGTCTCGCTCACACCAACTATCACACTGCCACTATCGTGTACGAATTGCTGTTAGCGTAAAAGAGATGTTGGTCGAAAAACACTCAGTTTAAATGTTCTTTAATGGACAATGTCTTTGAAATTATTGCGTTTTCCTAGTAAATCACGTAAAAATAATTGCTATTTTCAAAATGCGTAATAGTTTTCATCGTTTCCATTTCGGTTGCTTAAATCCGAACAAAAGTTTCGCCTGTTTTGCACTCGTATTCAACGATTTAGCATTTCGAATCGAAAAGTCACCTTGGAAACATTATTTGAGCATCCTTATCGCGTTATTCAACTGGAAAAAAATAATACAATCTTCACAACAGACAATCATTACGTCGAGTGGATTTATATTCAATTTCGATGTTCTATGATGATGGTAAATCAGCCTCTTGTGCTAATATAGCAAAATGAGTATTATTGAACTTGACGTGGGTTCGTTGATGAGAATTTTAATTTCTATTTTGAACCATTTTCAAGTGGCTATTTCGACGGTTTTCCAAGGGCAAATCATACATTTCGCACCAAAGATTATTGGGTGGTGCTTATTTTTCAAGTCAAAAATATATTTTTTCTGGGAATCGTCTTTTGCTCAGACTGAGATTCGACCTTCGGAATTTCATGTTTCAACAAAACATTTAATATTTTTTTTCGTAGGTCTATTTCGGTTATTTTTAGCAGAGAAGATATTTAAATCTAGAACGTCATAACATTTTTAAGCATAAGACACGAAAACATCATATTCAAGCAAGGAGATTCAAGGAAATTTATTTTGAAGACCAAAATAGCTTGAACTCACACCCGACGATCGAATGCATAAAGTTCATAAATAACATTTTGCGTTGGCCAACAGATTGATGGAAAACCCGAGAAACATGAAAATCAAAATGGTTGCCTAGTTTCGAATCAACTCACGTAGATGCCGAATCACAGTTATATCCTTTTTGTCATCGAGCAGAGCAAAGGTACTCTATAAATATAGAAACTCTGAGCACGTTATTAAAACAGTACCAGACATTATTGATTTTAGCTGAGCTCTTAAATGACAGTAAATGCGATGATACTCTATGTTTTGAAACGACATTCGCTACGTATCAATATATATCCGAAAAATAGCACCATTATTGTGTTCAATCGCTCGAAAATTCTTTAAGGACTCAACATAACTGAAAGCATAAATCTGTGCGTGCGTGTGTGTGTCGGAATGAGAGGAATGCTGTTGCTCGCAATTATTTTGCATAGGCGTGTTCTATCCGAATAACGCCCACGATCCATTTTCACTTGGAAAGCTTTAGCACAAGTTTTGCGTTGAACCAAAACGAATGAATTTACGAAATCAGAACGAAATCTTGCAAACAAATTCAAATGAAAACACAGAAGATAAGAGCAAAAGTCAGGCAACCTAAAATTTATTACCGAAATTTATTAAAACAAAAACCACACAGCATGCGAACTTTCTTGAGGGAGATTTTTATGTTTTGTTCGGTTTTGGTTTGAATTTCTGTGATTTTTTTCCTCGGTTTGATAAAGTTGAACTTTACAGAGTTGAATCGCTACGGTCATGCACACATTTTATAGACGATTGAATTAATACACAATTGTTGGTCGTGACTCTTCTTCAAAAGGATGAAAAAACGTTCAATTGTTACAGTGGGCGTACAATACAATTAAAGTTTTATTTTCACTACGATTTTCGCTATTGGTAGGTGCTTAGTGTATCTGCACAATTACATTTCAACTATTCGCAAAGGTTTCATTATGAAGAGAGTCGCAGAAAATATCACATGGAAATTTGGCTTAAAACCGTGAGAAAACCAAAAATGAATTGTTATTTTGGAATGAACAGACACTGAGCCAGTAATAGTACTAGTCTAGTATTTTTTGCTCACATATCCCATTCAACAGCTCAGATATCGATTTTTTAAACAAATTTCTTTAAAGGAAAACATGAACAATACAGACGTCCAATGTAGTTTTACTACATCATATAAATGCTGAATTTTTTCTCACTGAAGGTATTTGCATTCTGTGCAGCACACGAGAATCCTATAATATTGCCATATTTCATTGCCTCACGAAGTTCCAAAGCTGAAATTTTCATGTGTTCATGACTTTTTATATCTATTTCACTTTTAACCATGTTTATAAATAGAAAACTCTCAATTAATTTGATTAATCCTTTGGTTCAGATGAAGAACTAGGTCATCATTTATGGCCCATTACTATGCATCATAACAATTTTCCCAGAGATTTCAATTGAATCATGTTCCATTCGTGAATTTGTCTTTTTTTTACATTATAATAATTCTCGCCAACACAGTTCAGTTCGATGACATGATATATGAAAAAGTAATAAAAATTTGTTTGAAATAATTCACTATAGATAAATCTTTTTTTGAATCATGAACAATATCGAATATTTAAGTTTGTTGTGTTTAAATACGTGTACACAAACATGTTAAATACATGAGTCGCTAAGTACATTTCATACGTGTTGAATACAATTTGACGTTTTACAGCGGGCGGTTGAATGATTGTGCTTCACAACGCAAAACGTCAGTTTTTGTCGACTACTGATAGAACGCAGATGGAGCAAAATTGAGAAATATTTGTTTTATTTTCCAAAAATCTAACAATTTATTGTTGATTTGGTTGTATTCATATCATCGAAATAGTTTTTTTGCTTGAAAAAGGTGATTTTGTATTAGATAATAAAACAAGAATTGTAGCAGAATATTCAAGTGACGCCGGTAAGTGTGCCATTTAGTTTTGTCAAGCATTTTTTGCTTATACGTATAATATACGTAAGCAATTTTTTTTTTCAAAAACATGTGTGTTTTTTCGCAGTTTTTTGGAACAATGAGTGACAAAAAACGTGATTCGAGCCCATCCAGCCAATCCAGTGGATCTGATTCGGATAGTGATTCATCATCTTCATCATCCGGTTCGTCGAGTTCATCATCTTCATCATCTAGACGATCAGCATCTAATGGGCCTAATGTATCGGTTGAAAAGAATGATATAATTAAAGACAAAACACCCGATGGTTCACCAGCCCGTTCAAATCGGTCTAAATCAAGAGAACGCTCCAAGTCAAAATCAAGAGAACGCTCCAAGTCGAAATCAAAAGAACGCTCCCGGTCTCCTCCACCGACCGAACCTGTTGCAAAAGAGCAAGTTCAGAATGTTGATGTAACAAACGGAGAACATGAATCTACCAAGCGATCGTCAGATGAACCACAAAAATCACCAGAAGAGAACAATTCGCGTGGGTCAAGGTCACCAAACGATGTGCGTTCTCAATCTAAAGAAGTGAAACGGTCTAAATCTAAGGAGATGAAGCGCTCACCTTCCCTCGAAGCGAAACGGTCAAAGGAAGTTAAACGCTCTCGTTCACGTTCACGTTCACGTTCACGTTCACGTTCACGTTCACATTCACGTTCACGCCGGCGAAAGACCCGTTCAAAGTCCAAATCACGCCGTTCACGGTCAAGACAATCCAGGTCATGCCGTTCTAGATCACACAGCCGCCGACGCAGAGATCGTAGCAACGATGGCCGAAGAGATAGGGATAATGAGAGAAGAAGAAGAGGCCCTGAACGACGAAACAGAAGTAACGAAAGAAGAAGAAGAGACCGAAGCTCCGACAGACGTCGTGATGATAAAAATCGTCGTTCAGAGCGAGACCGGTCGAAAAGTAAGGAGCCTGAAAAACAAAATCCGGAAGCCATACCGAAAAAGCAACAGAAAACTGTTGATATTTTAACTTCAAAAACGGGAGGCGCTTACATTCCACCGGCCAAATTGCGTGCATTACAAGCGGAAATTACAGATAAAACATCGGCTGCGTATCAAAGAATTGCATGGGAAGCGCTCAAAAAGTCGATTCATGGATTCATTAACAAAGTAAATGTGGATAATATTGGCGTAATCACACGTCAGTTGTTGAAAGAAAATATTGTTCGTGGTCGAGGTTTGCTGTGTCGATCAATAATACAGGCACAAGCTGCATCACCAACGTTTACCCACGTTTATGCCGCTTTGGTGGCCGTAATCAATTCAAAGTTTCCAAACATGGGTGAATTATTGCTGCATCGTTTGGTCATTCAATTTAAACGTGGTTTCCGACGTAACGATAAACCGATATGCCTCTCAGCCACACGTTTTATTGCCCATTTAATTAATCAACGAGTTGCACATGAAATTCTCGCACTGGAAATTCTTACGCTGTTAGTCGAAATGCCAACAGATGATTCCGTTGAAGTGGCGATTGCATTTTTGAAGGAATGTGGTATGAAGCTGCAAGAAGTATCGTCCAAGGGAATCAATGCCATTTTTGAAATGCTGAAAAATATTTTGCACGAAGGAAAACTGGACAAACGTGTACAGTACATGATTGAGGTGGTGTTTCAAATAAGAAAAGACGGTTTCAAGGACCATGTCGCTGTAACCGACCAACTGGAGCTCGTCGAGGAGGACGATCAATACACGCATTTGATAATGTTGGATGAAGCAACCGATACCCAAGATATTTTGAGTAAGTATAATGGAAAAAGTTCAGCGATTAATTCGAATCATTCTAAATGTGAAACTCTTTTGCTTACAGATGTGTTTAAATTTGACCCGGAGTATGCGACTACCGAGGAAAAGTATAAGGGCTTGAGTAAAGAACTGCTTGGAAGTGATGCAAGCGATGAAGATGACGATGACAATTCAAGCGGTAGCGGTAGCTCAAGTGGCAGTGAGTCAGATGATGAAGAAGAGGCCGAACCAGAGAAAACAAATGACGCTATTATTGATGCCACCGAAACGAATTTGGTTGCATTACGTCGAACCATTTACTTGACCATTCATTCCAGTTTGGATTATGAAGAATGTGCACACAAACTTATGAAAATGGAACTCAAGCCCGGCCAAGAAATGGAATTGTGCCACATGTTTTTGGATTGTTGTGCCGAACAGAGAACATACGAAAAATTTTATGGGCTATTGGCGCAACGGTTTTGTTTAATCAACAAAATTTATATTGAACCATTTGAAGAAATTTTCCGCAATACATATGGAACAACACATCGTTTGGATACGAATCGTTTGCGAAATGTGGGTAAATTTTTCGCTCACCTTCTGTTTACCGATGCCATACATTGGGAAGTGTTTGATTGCATTCAACTCAACGAAGAAGATACGACGAGCTCAAGTCGAATTTTCATCAAAATTTTATTTCAAGAATTGGCCGAATACATGGGCTTAAGTAAACTGAATGCCCGCCTTAAGGATCCAACGCTGCAAAATTCATTTTCCGGTCTCTTTCCGCGCGATAATCCACGTAATACACGTTTTGCCATCAATTTCTTTACATCGATTGGTTTGGGTGGTTTAACCGATGAGTTACGTGAGCACTTGAAAAACGCACCAAAAGTGGTTCCAACACCAGCTGTGCCGGAGAAAGGCGAAAATTGTGATGGTTCATCGAGCTCGAGCAGTAGTAGTAGTAGCAGTAGTAGTAGTTCGGATAGCAGCACCAGCAGTGGCAGTGATTCCAGTTCATCGAGCGATTCATCGTCGAGCAGCTCAAGCAGTTCGGACAGTGAACCACAGAAAAAGAAGAAACGATTGAGCAAGAAAAAATCGAAAGACAAGGGAAAAACATCGAAATCAAAACAGGTAAGGCAAACGGTCTTCGGCCTAAATACTGGCGTGATAATACCAGACAAGCAATTATTGAGGATTAATTATGTTTTTCCATTGCAGAAATCAGAGACCGATGATGAAAAGGATCGTAAAAAGCGAGACCATGCGAAAAAGGATCGACGAACAGACAACAGAGTTGATCGATCGGGTCGGTCAAGCGAACGCAAACGTAAGAGAAACCGAAGTATTGAACATTCTAAATCAAGACGTTCCAAAGATCGATCAAGTCAAAAAGAGGAAAATGGTCATAAAAAACGAAAATATGATGATGAAAGCGATTCGGACAAACGCGATAAACGGGATTACAAACACGAAAAAAGCAAGGGCAAAGATTCAGATGGTTCGAAAAAGAAACGAGCTAGGGATGAAAGTTCAGATAGAGTTGAGAGATATGACAAAAACGATAAACATGATCGGAACGAAAAATACGACAAAAATGGAAAGAATGATAAAAATGAAAGACCGCGTAGCAGAGATAGGGACAGAGAGCGACGGGATAGAGATAGAGATCGCCGCCGTGACAGAAGCACAAGTCGGCATCGGTCCAGAGAACGTAGTCGTAATCGGTCACCACAACATAAAAAACGTGACGAATATCGCTCGCGCAAAGAACGAAAAGTATCCAGTGAACGAGGTTGATTATTCAAACAACAATCCAACGTGGAAAATTTACAGCAACTTTAATAAAATAAATAACCAATTTGTATTGATGAATTCTTTTTTTTTGAAGTGATGAATAAATATTTTTTTTTGAACTCAAAATATACGTGTATGTATCTTTAATCTTTAACAGCTAATTGGAAAATGATTACACTATGCATCTTTAACATCAAGTTCACTTTTATCAAATTCTTCTCGGATTTCTCTTTCTAAGTCAGTTCCCTGATAAATTGCGTGTCGTCTCATGCCTTCTTGTACTTGCGCCACAAAGAATTTCTCCTTCGACCATGCGTATCTAAATGAAAAGCAATGAGATATTATATCACTTTTTTCAATTCAATCGAAATTGATGCATAGATTTGTCCTTATATAGCATACCGGCAATATGACCAGTAGGACAGTGTTATCAATGTGTACGATGCCATTGCATAATTGCAAGCTTGTCGTGGCCTTGAGGTTCGCATAAATGTACCAACACCGATGGCTATACCACCGATGATTCCATTTAGGAAACTCTCCCGGAAGCACGGTATTTTCGAAACATCGCGGCCAAACAGCGTCAATGTCTGCAACAAAATAAATCAAGAAATCAATACTAAACAAATTCAGAAGTCAGCATAAATCCAATCGAATATTTTTTCCAAACAAACCTTGCGACTTTCTTCTTGTTCATCCTCAATATCAGCCATCGTTAAATCCAACGAAGAAAATCAGAAAAATCAATTGTGTTCAATTTTTGTCCTGCAACTTTGTGTGTTTTGTTCACATAACCAAACTGAATGAGTGACATTTGCTGTCAACGCATAGCCATAGCAATGAATTTATAGGTTATGTTCAATCGAAAATTCAAAAGCATAAATAAATGAATGAAAAATTTATTTTCTCTTTTGTTAACACAACATCTAAAACTAAATAAACGAAGGCTGTTTATTTCTTCTTTTTCTTAAGTTTCCGAGCACCGCCCAATTCTTCTAATTCATTTTGCAGTTCTTTCAATTCGGTGTCAGGTACATATCGAATTTCATCATGATCCGGCTGATGTTCGACTACATTGAGTGTTACCCCTTCGGGAAGTGCTGCCTGCACTAGACGCAAATAAACTGGGAAAAAATGCGCCGGTAAATTGTATACCTGTGTATGTTGAACATGCAATTATTGTTTGTATTCATTTGTTTTATCAATTCAATCATTGTATTCTATTTGATGAACAAACCTGCACATTTCTCTCGTAAACTTTCAAGTCAAACTGTCCTTCGACAGTTGTTGATTTCGTCTTGAGTTTTGTTATATGCATATGCTTTGGCGGTATAGCCCAACTACAAGGAATAATTCCAATTACAGTAATGTATTGTTGACACATCGTAGATTTTGCACATCGTCTTCTTACCATTCCGAAACATCCAAATCTAATGAATCAGCTGTCCGATGCAAAAATCTCTGGAACGATTCCAATACAGCAAAGTCATAGCCGGTTACTTTGAAATCAACACACGGATATACGGGATGCTTTGGTTTTAAAGCCTAAAAGTTTGAATTAAAAGTCGATTGAATTGGGTAAGTCACAAGTCGATAAGTCACATCTATGAATAAAACTCACATCTAAATAGTCTGGTTCAAATAAATTGCTCGCTTGTCGAAGGGGATATGATTTCAACTGAGATGATAACAGCCTCGACATTCCACGAATTCTATTGAACATTTTAAAAAATGAATTATTTTTGCTCTAGAGTGTCAACAAACGAATGGGTTTGAAACACATTGGTCGGTGTTTTCCAAAGTTAGAAAAATTTGACAAGTGACATTTGGCGATAATTTGACATTCATTTGATTAAACGAACGAACAAATGAATGAAGTTATTCATACGTAATTTATACGTATCTAAGTCTATGTATATTTTGTATATGATTTTTGAAAAGATTTGTTTTTCTCTTTTTTCACAAAAATTACTGTCATCAATCAATAAATGCATAAATCCATTCAACAATGTGTCAATCATTTTTATGAGTTTAATTGATAATTTTTCTCCCCTGTAAGTATGCACACAATTATCATCGTATAAAAGTTTAATCAACAAGTAAATCTAATATATAAGTAGTACATAGTGCTCGTACATCGAATACATAGCAATACCGAATGTGTGCTACAAATCGGCATGCGTGAGAGCGATAGAGGCAGTTGCAATTCAAATACCGTTGTGGTCACATCATAAATTCATTAGAAACTACGAAATATTCCAAATACTCAAGCGAAAAAAAAAATCGTATTTCGAGATCTTTTTGTGCATATCGATATTAAATTTTGTGTGTGTGTGTGTGTGACGAAAAAGTTGTTTCATAAAATATGCCGCCAATGCCTCCGATGCCACCAAACATTACATCCGATGGTGAATTGAGTTTTCAAAAAAGTCCATTAATTTTTTATGTTAATGGGAAAAAAGTGAGTAGATTGGTTACCGAATAAGCAATCGATTTCATTAAAAAAAAAATAGGTTAAAGTGCAATTGATTTCACTAAATTTTGAATCTTTCACTGCAACGTAGCTGATTATTATAAGGAAATCGAAACCACTTGTCTTCGTGTTGACTAATCAAATGTTGTTGTCACGCTGATAGTATTTGACGTTGGTGTCACAGGCCACTTATGATATTGAAAATAAACAACAACAACCGTTTTTCCAATCAAACGGAGATAACTTATAAAAATGTGTACTCCAGCTTTTGGGGCATTTGTAATCGGCTCCGCGTGTGGTGTAGTGTGATATAGTTTTAGCCCATGATTTTCCGCGTATTTTCAATGTGCAACAAATAATTTCTGTAGTTCACTGCTCATCTTCCTCCGCTGACAACTGTATGTATCGGTATTGAGTGCAGACTTAATATGTTTCTCTTTTTGATGAAACCTTTTGTTACTATTTGTAAACACCATAAAACCTTTGTCTTATTTGCAATCAAAATGTAAATATGCGCTATCAACTTGATTCAGCTGCCGTACCTTTCATTTGAAAGACGCAATAATTTCAAGCAAATAATACAGAACACAGTTTTTTTTGCTATGCAAAGCAACTCTGACCTACTCTGTGAGCGAAAAATCAATGACGTTTTATTTGTCGTAGTGAATCGCATTTAATGAAATAATTAAGATGTAACTGTGTTCGTTTTTTGAACTATCTATCATCTTCATCACTATATATATATTTAAATCGTTGCTTCATCTATTTGTGCACTATATATTCTGATATTGTTTACCATTTTCAATTGCGAACAAATAGGTTGTGGAAGAGAATCCGGACCCAGAATGTACTCTATTGACGTATTTGCGTGAAAAGCTTCGTTTAACCGGATCAAAATTGGGATGTGGAGAAGGCGGTTGTGGAGCATGTACGATTATGCTCTCAAAGGTGGTTAATCGTGCAACCAACGAATTGAAGCACGTAGCAGCGAATGCATGTTTGACACCGGTGTGTGCAGTGCACGGAATGGCAGTGACAACGGTCGAAGGTATCGGCAACACCAAAACTAAATTGCATCCAGCTCAAGAGCGTATAGCTAAGGCGCACGGTTCACAATGTGGCTTCTGTACACCGGGTATCGTTATGTCAATGTACGCTTTGCTTAGAAGCATTCCGAAACCGACAATGAAAGATATGGAGATCGCATTTCAAGGCAATTTGTGTCGTTGCACTGGTTATCGACCGATCATTGAAGGCTACAAAACATTTACGAAAGAGTTTGCATGTGCCATGGGCGAAAAATGTTGTAAAAATCAGAATGGCACTTGTTCAAACGGTGATGCCGAAGAGGACCGAGATGAATTATTCTACATCAGCCAATGGGCACCGCATGATCCAAGCCAGGAACCCATCTTTCCACCCGAATTAAAAGTCTCAGACGTACTGGACAAGCGATCAATTGTATTCTATGGAAAACGAGTGAATTGGTATCGCCCAAACAATATAAACGATTTATTGGCATTGAAACTGCAGCATCCCAATGCAAAAATAATCGTTGGAAACACGGAGGTTGGAGTTGAAGTGAAATTCAAGCATTTCCACTATCCGGTCATGATTATGCCGAATCAAATTCCAGAAATGAACCGCATTTCCATTTTAACAGGTACTGTATACATTATACAAAAAATCAATGAAACAATTTTTAAAAATTGTGTTAGATATATATAACAAACACTTACCTCCTCTCTTTTTCCCACTGTGTATTGTGAAGATGGTGTTGAATTTGGGGCTGCGGTCACATTGATGGACATTGACAATACATTTGCAAATCTCATCGATAATTTACCCGAACACAAGACACGATTGTTCAAGGCATCAGTCAACATGCTGCATTATTTTGCTGGCAAACAAATTCGAAATGTTGCTGCTCTTGGAGGTAATATCGAAAATGATGGATTAATTTTTGCACGATAAATAAGTTTGCAACCACGAATCAGGATTCAGTGCTAGCGTTAAAGTCATTTTCATTCTTTTGTTTAGTAGCACACTGGACAAAATACTCAATATCAATTAAAGTACTTATCTCGTAAAATTAAATTTCTAATCTTCTTAGGTAACATAATGACTGGCAGTCCCATTTCAGATATGATACCGGTTTGTTCGGCAGCTGAAGTGAGGTAAAAATCTTTTCTAATTCCATTTTGTGTCTCTTCTTATTTTAAATTGACGTTTTACATTTCGAAATATGCAGACTTCGCGTTGAGAGTATTTCCCGTGGAGTTCGCTATGTAAAGATGGGAGTTGGATTCTTTACTGGCTATCGTAGAAATATTATTGAAACAGATGAAGTGCTCGTTTCGATTCTGTTTCCATATACGACTGAAGATCAACATTTTCTCGCTTACAAGCAAGCCAAGCGACGTGACGATGATATTGCTATTGTGAATCTTGCATTGAATGTTGAGTTTGAGCCAGGTACTAACAAAGTTAAAATGCTGAACATGGCATTCGGTGGAATGGCCCCAACTGTGGCTATGACACCAAAAACTTGTGCGGCTGCCGTCGGTGAGGTGTGGAACGAAGCACTCGTCGAGAAAATTAACAAAGAATTGATGAATGAGCTACCTTTAGCGCCAAATGCTCCGGGTGGCAACATTTTGTACCGTCGATCTCTTACGTTGAGTCTCTTTTTCAAAGCCTATTTGGATATAGCCCAGAAGCTTGAGCGTAAATCCATTGCAACTTCTGATGTCCCAGAGAATGAGCGATCTGGTGCAGACATATTCCATACATTGATTCCGAAGAACACACAACTTTACGAAAAAGTACCTGATAATCAACCGAATCTCGATCCAGTTGGTCGGCCAAAAGTACACATGTCAGCATTCAAGCAAACCACCGGTGAAGCCATCTATTTGGATGACATGCCAAAATGGGAGAATGAATTGTACTTATCGTTGGTGATCAGCACTAAGGCACATGCCAAAATTTTATCAATTGATCCGAGCGAAGCGTTGAAAATACCGGGTGTGCATCGGTTTTTCTGCGCCAAAGATTTAACTGATCATGAAAATGAAGTCGGACCCATCTTTCACGATGAAACAGTTTTTGTAAAAGATAAAGTTTTCTCGCAAGGACAAATTATCGGAGCTATTGTTGCCGATGATCAACCCACCGCACAGAGGGCTGCGAGAACGGTAAAGATTCAATATGAAGATCTGAGCCCAATTATTGTCACTATTGAAGATGCAATCAAGCACAACTCGTACTTCGGAGAACCGAAGAAAATGGAACGGGGTGATTATCGCAAGGCGTTCGCTGAATCTGATTTTGTGGTCGAAGGCGAGTGTCGAATGGGAGGACAAGAGCATTTTTATTTAGAAACTCATGCAGCATTGGCCATTCCACGTGATGCTGATGAATTGGAAGTATTTTGTTCAACCCAACATCCGGGTGAAATTCAGAAACTGGTGGCACACGTTTGTTCGATGCCTCTGTCGAAAGTCGCAACAAGAACCAAACGAATGGGTGGAGGATTCGGTGGTAAAGAATCACGTGGCATGTTAATCGCTTTGCCCGTTGCATTAGCCGCACATCGAATGAATCGGCCAATTCGGTGTATGCTTGATAGAGATGAGGATATGCAAATAACTGGCACCAGACATCCATTCTACCATAAGTACAAGGTGTCATTTAATAAAGATGGCACAATTACCGGTTGCAAAATTAAAATCTACCAAAATGCAGGATATTCCATTGATTTGTCATTCTCAGTATGTTTTTCAATTAGTTAAATTCATTTTTGTTTTTCATTCAATACAATGTCATAATCGACAAACTTGCTTCCTTTTCAGGTGTTGGAACGAGCAATGTTCCACTTTGGTAGCTAAAAGTTAATTTAGTAAAGTTGATTTGGAACTTAAATGGTCTTGTCTCTTTCTAGAAAATGCGTATCACATTCCGAACTCATGTGTACTGGCTTGGTCTTGTAAAACTAATCTGCCCTCAAACACTGCGTTCCGTGGCTTTGGCGGTCCACAAGGAATGTATGCCGGAGAGCATATCATTCGTCATGTGGCTGAAACATTAGGAAGAGATGTCATTGAAATCGGTATGAATTCATTTCAAAACCAGTTTCAATACGATATTGTGTTCATAATTGATTTTGTTCAATTTCAGTCGAGAAAAATCTATACGAAAGCAATCAAATAACGCATTACAATCAATTGTTGACGAATGTCACGGTAGATAGATGCTGGTATGAGTGCAAAGAACAGGCTGAATTCGAGAAACGTAGGGCAGAAATTGAAGAATTCAACCATCAACATCGCTGGAGAAAGCGTGGAATTGCAATGGTTCCCACCAAATTCGGCATTGCATTTACTGCACTCTTTTTGAACCAGGCGGGCGCTTTGATTCACATCTATCAAGATGGCTCGGTGTTATTATCGCACGGAGGTACGGAGATGGGTCAGGGTTTGCATACTAAAATGATACAGTGTGCTTCTCGAGCGTTGGGTGTTGATGCGGAACGTATTCACATTGCTGAAACTGGAACGGACAAAGTACCGAACACCTCGGCAACAGCAGCCTCATCTGGATCTGATTTGAATGGAATGGCTGTATTGGATGCTTGTGCAAAGTTGAATGAGCGTCTAGCGCCAATCAAAGAAAAATACCCTAACGAAAGTTGGAACCAATGGATAACAAAAGCTTATTTCGGCCGGATTTCACTTTCGGCCACTGGTTTTCATGCAACGCCTGACATTGGATATGATATTAATACAAACCAAGGGATGGCTTTTAATTACTTTACATACGGTGCTGCATGTGCTGAAGTGGAAATCGACTGCTTAACTGGTGATCATCAAGTCATTCGTACCGACATTGTCATGGATTTGGGATCGAGTTTGAATCCAGCTATCGATATTGGTAACTTTGTAATTTACTGACTTGAATACAATGATGAAACTCAATTGGGATGTTTCAATCGATTTTTAGGACAAATCGAAGGTGGTTTTATGCAAGGATACGGTTTATTCACACTCGAAGAAATGGTTTATTCACCGACTGGAATTGTTTTCTCACGTGGACCTGGTATTATTGATTGAAATCAACTCTGCAAAATGTCTCTTACGATTTCTGAATTGAAATTGCTGGCTTTTTTAGGTGTGTACAAGATTCCTGGTTTTGCTGACATTCCTGGTGAATTCAATGTGTCACTGTTGAAAGGAGCACCAAATCCAAGAGCTGTATATTCTTCAAAAGCCGTCGGTGAACCGCCCCTGTTTTTGGCCTCGTCCATTTTCTTTGCCATAAGAGAAGCTATTAAATCCGCCCGAAAAGATGAAGGTCTGAATGAAAGAGTTGAGTTAGTTTCACCCGCAAGTTCAGCAAGAATTAGAATGGCATGCCAAGATCGTTTTACAAGAAAGGTGCAAATCAAGTCGATTATCACTTACTTCGTTGTTATAATTTTTCAATATTTTGAGAGAAATAAAAAATCTGTCTATTTTTAGTTCCCAGAACCTGAGCCGGACAGCTTTGTACCATGGAACGTGATGGCTTAAAAGTCAAATGCCGTGCATTATGACTTTGAATTTCAAAAAAATACGTAAATCGACGAATGAATATTTTTAGAATGAAATTGACTTGATAGAATAGAAAATGAAATAAAAATGATTTGATCAATAAAGAAAAAACAGACAAATTGTAGCAAAATCGATTGTACCGTCGTTTTGTATAGCATTTAAAACGTATGAAATTGCGCGCTTTCCGGTTGCAACACTCTTTTTCCCGTTTGAAGCAACTTCACTGCGATTCATCAAATGTCATTCGATTCTTAAGCAACAGTGGTTTATTTACAAAACGTCATTTCTGAGTGATGGTTGCATCTCAGCTGTTTGTTTTTTTTTTCTCTCGGTGTTTTTGTTTAACTATTACTAAATAAATACAAGATTTATCCTTATCAATATACGCTTTGTTTGTATTCGATAAGAAATTAGTAGCTAGTTTGAATGCAAAACCAACAAACTTTACTTTAATCAACTAAAAAATATATGGAAAAAGTTAGTAAATGCCATAAGATCAGTTTAGAAAGTGATTGTAATGTTATGTGTTTGCTAGACCGTCGAAAATATTCCGCAGCGTAATTGAAACATTTCATTTATTTTGAGAAAGTATTTAAACCAACACGATTATTAGCCATGTCATTCCTACGGGGTTCGACGAATTATGTTTGGTGTACGACATCGGTTCTGGGCAAAGGAGCAACCGGAGCTGTTTTTCAGGTAATTTTTTTTTCTTCTTCTTATTCTCTCAAGAACATGACATTCTGAGGCGCCATTGTTGTTCAACCTTTGCCCTTTCACCTTCTGAGTTTGTGGTATTGGTTTTTTTTTTCCTGGACATAGGGAGTAAACAAACACAATGGAGAACCAGTTGCTGTTAAAACGTTTAATCAAATGTCCCATATGCGGCCAGTCGATGTGCAAATGCGCGAATTTGAAGTACTGCAAAAGGTGAATCATGAGAATATTGTGAAATTACTTGCCATTGAAGATGACCAAGAGGGACGTGGAAAAGTTATCGTCATGGAGTTATGTACGGGGTAAGTGAGATTTAAATGCATGTCACTATTATATCAAATAATCACTTATCTATTTCGAATTATTCTAATTCTTCGGCCAAATTGAATTTTCTTCACAGCGGAAGTTTATTCAATATACTGGATGACCCTGAAAACACGTATGGATTGTCAGCGCATGAATTTCGTCTCGTTCTGGAGCATTTGTCAGCGGGCATGAAACACTTACGAGACAATCGATTGGTTCATCGTGATTTAAAACCGGGGAATATTATGAAATTCATTTCGGAAGATGGTAAAACGATATACAAACTAACCGATTTTGGAGCTGCACGTGAATTAGAGGATAATCAACCGTTTGTGTCTCTTTACGGCACCGAAGAATATTTGCATCCGGATTTGTATGAAAGAGCGGTACTACGTAAAAGTATTTCGAAAACATTCACAGCAAACATCGATTTATGGTCAATTGGAGTGACGCTGTATCATGTGGCCACGGGAAATTTACCATTTCGACCGTTTGGAGGTCGTAAAAACAAGGAAACCATGCACTTGATTACAACGAAAAAAACGTCTGGTGTTATTTCTGGCACACAGACATCGGAGAATGGGCAAATTGAATGGTCGCGTCAGTTGCCGACGCATTGTCAACTCAGTACTGGTCTGAAAGAATTGGTAACTCCATTGTTAGCCGGGTTATTGGAGGTTTGTTCCATTTAAATTATCGTTCACCGGGAATTTCGCTTTTAAACCGATAAACATTTTAGGAAAATCAACAACGTATGTGGTCATTTGATCGATTTTTCAAAGAAGTCACAATCATTCTCAGCAAAAAGGTGTTGCATGTCTTCTACATGAATCGTTCGTCATCGATTGAGGTAAACCAGTTATATTCATTGTATTGAATTAAAGTAAAAACATCTAGCGATATCAAACATCTAATTGTATGCTGAAAATTGAATGTGATTTAGATTTATATGAACGAAGATGAGCCACTCTTCAATATAAAAGAGCACATCAAATTACAAACAGATGTTCAGCCAGAAAGTCAAATACTTATACTGAACAGTCAAGATATGGAGGAGAAAGTGGGATCGAATACATTCGTTAAGGGTTTCCCACCAACCACCGAATTAAGTCCAATTTTCCTGTATTCGATCGATAACAACAACGTAACCATTCCGGCCGAATTGGATTTACCCAAGTTCCCAACATTTCCGAATGCCGTGTCTGTGGAGAACGATGCCAGTTTATCGAAAATGGGTTGCAGTGTTGGTCATGAATCCAAGCGACGCATCGAAATGTACTCACGCATGGATCAGCTAATGAAATCCAGCGTTGAACAATTTATCGACGTTCTGCGTAGTACTATTACACAGCTGCTCCAGTGAGTTTGGTGTTTATTTTGGATTCGACTTTTTTGCTGATTGTTGATCGAACAAAAACTGTTATTGTTTCTAGGAAAACCCAACATTTGGATGAACTTTCAGGCACAGTTTCGGAATATGCTGATGCTGTTAACACATTAACGTTGAATGTACGTGATTTATTGGAATATTTCCATATTTCTGACATATTTCAAGACTCTCAAATCGAGAGCACTTTTTTTTCGCTTAATTGGCATAAATATAAAAGTGCTTTCATTCATATACGGTTTCTTTTCACACAATTAGACTGATTGCAACGAGGATATGGCTGGCATAATGGATAAGTTGAGAAGTCTTAAGCATAATATTTCTGGAGTAACTGAGCCAACGCAACAGATTTACAATAAGTTTGTCGTTGAAGAATTGCTCAAGTAAGTCGCTTGCTTCAGTCTAATGCAGAAATTATTATTATCATTTTGATTGATATCATTTTCGTTTTGCGATAGTTCCGAGTGGAAGACTGCAATACGTGATAAGAACTGTCCATGCAAAACGAATGCAGCTGCTCGTGCAAAGCATTTAATTGAACGATTGCGGGTATGCGTTAATTTACCGAGTTACTTTTTGTACATGCATTTCATATCTATTTGTGCTAGTCCAATTATAACTGTTGTGTTCAATATTTAGGATTCCTGGCAGCATTTACTTCGAGACCGAGCAACACGGTCGTTAACATACAACGATGAGCAATTCCATGCACTTGAGAAAATCAAAGTAAAAATCACACAGATTTCGAAATATTTTTCTTCATTTCTCCACAAAGATCATCTTACTGATTCCGAGAAAATAAAACTCTTTCACAGATTGCCGAAACGGGTAAGCGTATGAAATTGTTGCTGGTTGAAGATGTGAAACCAGTTGTGGCTCAAATCGCCGAATGTCTGGCTGATTGGTATAAACGGGCACAAACCATCTACCTCAAGGTATTTTTCAATGATTTATGAACAAACTGCTTTTTCTTTCCGTTTTAAACACTTTCTTGCTATTGCAGACGCAAATTTTGGCAAAAGATGTGATTACTTGTGATGATGCCTTATATTCGATTCGCGAACAGATTTTTAGCAAAAAGGAAGAGGTCAAAATCAATGATGTGACTCGGGTATGTGTATTTTGAGCAACGTAGTGATATGAAACCATATAATAATCTCTTGTTTTTCTTATTTCATTTAGAAAAATGAAGTGATCACCCCATTAGAACCGTCCATTTTCACTCGGGACATTCAAAATAATATTCGGGTGAGAGACACTGAACAACAAATGCACCTACCAACATGGAATTGTCATTGCTATTTGAGGTTAACAAAATCGTATGATTTTCTTTTACAGACGATGGCATTGTGCCAAAAAGAAATTTTTGATCTCATGCGATCGAATGCTCAACTCGTTGAATCAATCCAAAATCAATCGTTGGGCAAAGATGATTCAAATTCGATTGATCACAGCCGACTATAAAGAGAAAACAGCAATCACATTTTGACTATTGAAACATATATATGTAATGTCATTTTTTATTATTTATCATATCATCATCTTTTTATGTTCTAGATGATCTAAATCTATCCTTCCATAGATTTTATGATTGTATTTGATAGATTTAACGAGAGAATGTTTTACACATTGGAATTTATAGAAATAAAAGAGAATACATATACGAGAACCAAACCCGTGGTGACTATTCTGATATACTTGTGAAAATTTTGTACTTAATTGATATTTGAACTATAATGATTTGAGCATTTTTAGCGGGGACAATCACAATGTTTCGATTTTACAGTCGAAAATGGTAAATATTTAGAAAAAAAAATGATTTCATGCTTTCTTCTTATTCTTAACGTTGCTGGATGGACAAATGTGGGCATTCAAGCATTCGCCGCAGTGTGGATTTGTCGGGGTGCATATAGTTTGGCCAAATCCAACGAGTAATTCATTGACCTCAGCCCATTCTTCGAACGGTAACCATTTTTCCAGGACGATACGTGTTTGTTCTGGTTCCTTTGTCTCCTTCGGTACCCATTTCAAGCGATTGGAAATACGATGAACGTGAACATCAACTCCGATTCCAGTAACAATATTCCAAGCGACGCGCATACAGATATGCGCCATTTTTGGACCAACGCCAGGAAGACTCACTAAACCTGATATCATTGGAAAAATATGAGAGGAAATTTTATATAAATTAAACAAAATCTAAAACAAAATAACAATTTTCATACAAACCTTTGATATCATTTGGAATGTCAGACTGGAATTGATCGATCAATATTTGCGACGTTTTTTGAATGTGTTTTGCCTTTGTTTTATAAAAGCCAACCGGGTATAAAAGTTGTTCCAAATCGTTTGTACTTGTTTTAACCATTTCTTCAGGTGTTAAACCATGGCGTCTCAAACGGCTCATTGCTGCATATGTGACGGCATCCTTGGTTTGACTCGATAGCATCAATGCGACAAGGTGATGGAATCGCTTTGTTTTTTCATCTGAATATTCATCGTGGCATTTTTCACAGCCCATTGTATCAACAGGAGCAGTGCGTTCCTTGCGCATTTCACGTATATTAGCAAGTAGTTCACGCCAGTTGTTCGGTTCCCATTTGACTTGTTTCTCTGGTGATGCTGAATCATCACTGACGCCGGATTCAGTTTTCACTTTTGGCTCCGATTTGATGTTATCGGCTTTTGTGCCACCTGATGAACGTTTTTTAGCTCCTTTTGGTGGTAGTTGATCGTCATTAGGCTCCTTCTTTATCTCTTTCTTGATGACAACCGGGTTTTCATTTTCTTCGTATTCAACTTTCACATGTTTTCTTGACTTCGTCTTTTGCAATTCAGTGGCCAACTTTTTCTCAATTTTACCTACAGTTTCAGATGCTGATGCTGGTTTTGTCTCGGTCGACTTCAATTTTATACCACTGGTAGACTTCGCATCATCGTTGCGTTTGTTTCTGGTGTGACCAGCAACCGGCGAAAAGTACGGAGATTCTGTTCCAGACTGAGGTTGTGCCGTATTTTTGATTGCATTTTCGATCGATTTAGTGATGTTGGAATTCTTACCAGCAATTTTTGCCAAATTCAATTTTCGGTCCATTTTGAAGACAATGTATACTGTGTCGACTCGAATCACGGAGCAATGTGACTTTGTTTGTAAACTGAACTGTCTAGCGAACTGTCAAAATGAACAACAGCGCTAAAATCGAAATCTTTGCCGTAGCAAAAGTTTTAATCTCGAAAAATAATTTTTTATTTCAAATTTTGATGTATATCTCGATTTACCTCGTTCATTTCTTTTCCATTATTTCATAACTTTATTCAGCTTTAAAAAATGTAATATGTATTTTTTTCGTGGTTTCCACATTTTGCGGCTTTTTCGATATTTTCGATATGGTCATTTTTCCGATCTTTTAAACGACCTAATCGAACATTCTGAAGGTAGTTTCGAAGCAAGCTTTGAAATTATATTTATTTATATTTTTTGGTCAATAAATTATTAAAAAATAAATAATTTTTACTATTTAAAAATAAACGAATGATTTTATTTCTCTTTCTTTTCTTTTTTCTTCTTGATCACTTTCTCAGCTTTTGGTGATTTGCGCTCTTTCTTCTCTTTCTTCTCTTTCTTCTCTTTTTCCTTTTTCATCTTTTTTCTACGACACAATTTTTTCATACAGCCACAGCCACAACAGCAGTTATCAATCTCATCCTCATTATCTTCACTTTCACGTTTGGTGAGCTTGGTATTCTTCCTCATTGTAGCCTTTGGTTGTGGATCATTGATTAATTTATCCGTTTTTCCTTCGCCATCACGATTACTTAGTCCCTTATTTCCATTTGGTTTACGCTCATACGACGTGCTCCTCTGCTGTAATTCTTCTTTCGTAAAATCACTTTTATTACTCTCATTTTGGCCCACATTTGCGTGAAGTAATTTTATTACCACTTGAGATTTTTTACTGGAAATTTTATCGCGAATATTATCATGCTTCATTTTGACATTTTCAATTTAAAAAAAGTTGCTATCTTTTTAACTCATCTAGTAGGCCATAGTAATGGCAGATAAATACTTCAATATATTTTACTTTATTTCATTTGATATTGCCTGATATTTTGTTTCTAATATAACAATAATATGATCGATGATGGAAAAAAAAGAATCTTTTTACAAGAAGATTCGAGGGCATCCCGATTCTTTTTGGCGCTTTCTCTCTATCACTTTCTTTTCTTTCCGAGTGATTTTTCCTTTCCTTTAGTAAATTGATTCTCTTTCTTCTCCATGCGAGCAGTCATTTTCGATACTTCTCTAGCGGTTTTCATATCTGGCTTGATTACAATTTTCGGCAAGTTTTCACCAGTCGTTGCGGATTCTACTTTGTCGGAGTTTTCTGTGGTGTTTTGATTGTGCTTCTTCATTTCCCGTATGCGAAACTTAATTTCAAATGAATTCAATTAATTCGGTTTCAAAAAAAAAAATTCAAAAATTATTCCGTTCCTTTCGTCAAATTTGTATGTGAGTTAGGTTCAATTTGAATAAATTAAATTATTTTCTTCATCCAATGTAATGCTTGCTTCGGCAAAACAGAAAATTCAATTTCAAACCACAATCATATTCACATAATTCGTTCAACTGTTGCCACACTAATTCTGCGATTTTTTTCTCTCTCGATATTTTCGAGATGTCATAATTTGTGTGGAAAAATGAAAAATCAGTCTCCATCTTAGCAGCAATTGTCACATTCGGAAAGTAAACTTTAGCTCAGGTTGAAACATTTCCAGAATAAAAGAAATCATCGTAAGTGTTGAACATAACATAAAAAGGTTAAAATATGAAAATTTTTTAGTTAATTTTTGATAGTGTAGGAATTTTCATTTCGTTAGCATTTTGAGTCGATGAAAAATGGTGTTGGAAAAATGATAAATTTGTGCGATGTTACATAATGTGGCAAATGTCATTTGGATGCTATTTATGCGAGAAAAAAAACTAATAATTTTCATTATGATTTGATTTGATTTTAGATGTCTGATGCAGTAGCAAGTTCAAGCAACAGTTTGCCGCGTCCACAATTGAAAGGCCGTCATGCTAAATTCATGACCAAACACTTGGCCATCTCTATTGGTTTCGCTTTGGCTAGTGTTTACCTCACCAAAGTTTTTGTCAATGACAAACGAAAGGCTGCCTATGCCGAATACTACAAGTAAGTTTAGCAGCAATTCAGGGTTTGAATTATTTAATGTTCTGAATTCGCATAATTCTAATGATCGTTAATGTGTTTTGTTCTGCTTCCAGAAACTATGACATCGAGGAGAACTTCAACCGCATCCGAAAGCTTGGCCTCTTCGAATCCTGCGGCCCAGATGATGAATAAATAGTTTAATGTACAGATCCTTCTAGTTTCCATTTAGAAATCAACCAAACTTAACAAATAAAGAAAAAAGACGCATTTTAACATCCCATGCAGAACACAATACGTAATGCGCAGAATGTTGATGACCCGATTTGTGAATCATTTGTGAAATGCATCTAATAAAATCAAGTATTTGTTTGGCATTTAATGATTGAAACCAATCGTGTTTTCTTTTGACGAATTTATTGTGATATGGTATTCCATATTATTTATTTTTTTGTGCTATTCTGGTTTCAAGTGAATGGTAGAACACATCAAAAAAAGTGTTAAAATTGAAGAAAGTCCAGCCGCATAATTGCCCACAGATTTGCTTAAGTACACACGTTTATAGAGGACTCAGTATTTTTCTTTCTTTCTGAAAAAAACACATCGTGCAACCCGAAGTATCTAACAAATTCTTGTATTCTATTCGAAGCGAAAAATTTGTTTTTATTCTCTCACATGACAAATCATTATCTGTAGCATTTTAATTTCTATAATATTCAATTGACAGTAGAGAAATACTTGACGCAAATCTAATTTTTATCAATTTCAAATCACCATTCGATTGATGCACTGAAAACCGAAAGAATATCTAAACAAATACAAAAATTTGAATATGTATGATATCGGCATAAATTCTATCCAGTTTTAATAATCCACTACATTCGCATTTTTTTCTTCTTCTTTCAAATTGTACGGTAAAGCATACACACGCACACTGACATCATTCGTTTGAAAATTGGTGTTCCATGCACGTAAAGTACTCCACACTGATGCTAGTATGAATGCCCAAAGTACCGAACGTTTCTTACACAAGTATTCGTTCTGTTCATTCGAATGTATACATACGTATTTTAACAACACCAATTCAACCAGTGCGCATGTCAGTTTCAGTAAAATGCAAATGGCGCCCGTTGTTATTGTTCGCACTCAATGAAACAAATTAGTCCTACAAAAAAATTACATTTTTTGTGTTTTTTCGTTTACTATCAGCGACATTTGAAGTTTGTGAATGGAACAACTCAATCGGAAATGTTGAAAATTGTGTTATTTTTGAATTGATTGTGTTTTTTGTGGTGCATTTCATTGAATTTGTTGACAATAAAGTGTGTCATGCAAATGGGGTAAGCACTCGCAACACACAAGAAATTACAATATATATTTTTTTTTTATCGAGGCGAAAACCATATTAAGGCGAAACAAGCGCAACAACAGCAACACCATCGGAAATATAGTTGTAGTGAATGTGCGCAATAAAAATTGAAATTTCAAAAAAATGAAATAAAAAGTCAAAAATGTGTTGGTAAAAGAAAAAAAAAAAATGCTAAAAATTCCGACAAGGAAAAATTTGAAGAAGAAAAAAAATTGTAGTGTAGTTGAAGATATTCCAAACCGTGGCAATGGCACACTCCCCATCATATATACACACTACGACTGTGTAATATACCAAAATGGCTGCTTCATCGTCAATCCTGTTTTATTATGTTACTTATTTCTTCTTTTGCTCTAGACATTTTTTTTTTTCATTCCGATTTACTTTTGGAAAATTATTTAAGCATCGATTTTTTTTTTTATAAAATTTGAAAATGTGGGTGAAAAATGGGGGGCAAAAAATTGAAAATCAGTTTTATGCATGCTAATGAAGCTGGTGTAAATCAAATAAAAAGTATGATTCGATGGCCGTTCATGGATTGTTTTTCGATGTGATAAGACAATATTTTCGTATCGTATGGAAAAAATTTGTGTTTAGAAAAAAATTAAATGAAACAAAAAAACAACAACAAAAATAATGGACTATAAAAGTAATGCCAGGCAATAAAATAAAGAATCCATATTTGTAAGTGGATTTTTTGAAAAAATGAAAATGCCGTAGGTTTGTGTGAAGAGTGTTTAGTATCACCTATTAAAAGGAGCAAGAATAAAGTGATTAAAAAAACGAAAAATGCAGAGACGTGTGTGTTTAGTTTTTTTTTTTTTTTTCAATGGCGCCTTTGACACACGCAATGACATCAACTCCTTCGTTTCGAACAAATTTCATTTCGAAGCAAAATTTAGTTTCAGTTCTGGTTCTGTTTCTATGCTGTTCGGAAAATGAAAAAAAATTCTAAAAACGAACATTCTGGCTACTGCAATGTTTAATGAATGAAATAAAATCGTGAATCAAAAAGTGTGTGCGTTGAATCCTATCACGATTTATACCAAACCTTTGCAGCGCGATAAAGTTTTTTTCCACTTGACGTGGTTTTTTTTAATATGGCAATTTTCTACCATTAAAGCGCTTATTGCTTTTATCCGTCATCTTTCTTTGATTTTGTCATTGTCGGTGCAGTTTTGCAGAGCAGACGACTTTTACGCAGTGTGCATTTGATGATATGTGTGTGAGTGTGTGATAGCGAAAAAAAAATTTAAAAAAAACATTCAACATGCCCCGTTGAGTTAGAGCTGTTGCTGTTGCTGTTGCTGCTGCTGCTACTACTGCTGCTATATTGTCATTTCATGTTTACCACAAACGGCGAAAGACGTCTAAAAAAAGTTTGTCAGATGAAAGAATGAACGAAAAAAAAAAACGCGGAGCGAGGAAAAAGTTGAACCGAATTCGAATGCATGTATGAGATGTGTCATTGCCACACACAAGCAGAGAGCGGACAACTAGAGTATAACCAACAGAGGCAGAAACTCTCTCAGTGATTAAACGTTGAGACCATTTTTATTTTCTGTGCTCATAGATTCCACGGAGAGCACCGAGAGCGAATTAACGACGACGACGACGACGACGACGAGAAAAAAAAAACACAACAGTCATTTTCTGTATATATAGTTGAATCGTTGGCCGTCGTCGGTGCGGTGCAGTTGTGTGTCGTTTTAAAAATTACACGTACACTACGTAAAAATGTGTAGTACGAACACAACGAAATATATGCAAACACACATATTAAAAGCGATCGCGACTTCATTCAGTCGATAAACACAACATGCAGCGCGGCCGCGGCACACATGATAAACAAGACGTATTTATACACTGTGATAGGAAAGCAACAACAGTAGTCGCGCGAACTGCACCAAATACACACTTACACACACATTCCCATATTAGCGATTTCGATAGGTTCAATTTCGTTCATTCGGTGACTGTTTCGCCACAGTGTGATGTGAATAAAAAAAAAAACTGAATGAAAAAGAAATACAGCGCGCGCGAGAAAAAGAAAAATACACACCGTCAAGAATTGCCTTTATATGCCTATTCGTTGCGTGTTTGCACTGGGCAAAACGTTCTTTCAAAACTGGTTGACAGCAACACCAAAACTACTTTCATGATTTCGTTGTCCTCGCATTCAGTATACATGTAATGATTTTAAATCGACCGATATGTACAAAAGCGTATAAATATCACAAGATTTTCTTCTTTGCTCATTTTGGATGGAACATGCGTTTAAGGAGAAAACAACGACTCTGTGCGAGCTAAGCTAACTGAGACTAGAAGTCTTAATTAAATAAATAATTAAATTATGTGATGATAGGAATAATATGTGAAACAAGTGATGAGCGAGTGTATATTCGACACAGCCCGAGTTTGTTATTGAGAAAATCAAATGAACAATATTTCGATTTTTTTTTTTTAATTTTGGGATTTTGAACATCAAAATAATAATAATCGCCGTTAGTTTGAATGCTAGTTTGAATGTCGCCACGAAAAAAAAAAAATGAAATCGTTAACTTAAAAAAAAATCCAACGAAAAAGAGTTTGATCTTTTTAGCATTATTAACCTATGTTATTTGTTTACATTTTTAGATTTTTTTGATAATTGTTCGCGCCAAATAATGTTGATATGAGATGGCTCATCATAAAAATATAATGGTATGTGAGCCGGTTATGTATTTCAATAATATGTATCCATTATTATCGATCATGTTGTTTTGAAAAAAAAAAAAAATTTTGTTTTTCTTTTCTATTTGAATAAAGTTCTAAATAAATCAAGTGGATGACGGACAACCGAAAATCTTAAGCCCACAAAAAAGTGCATTGAACGAAAAGCGTTGATCAGATACCGGTGTTTCTGGAGAGTGCGTGTCGTGTGATTTATTTTGATTGGGTAGCGTGAGCCGAAAAAAGTCCATTATTATTTCAAATTCGTTAGAAAGATGCACACACAAAATGGCGGAAGATAGTGATGGTACGTTACAAGCAGTAGTAATCTGTGAAGGCGACCTACATGATCCAGATTTTCCGCAAAAATTCCGCTCTTTATTGGGTAAACTGAAATCAATATTAGATCCACCGAAGCGACGAAAACGTTTTCTCAAAGTAAAAAAGGTACGTTTCGGCTCGAAACAGCCATTTGAATTTGAATTTGAAGCCAAATCGTTAAATAACTCTCGAATTCATTTTTTTTTTCAATCTACAAAAGGTTGAACCATGGAACAGTGTACGCGTTACACTCTCGATTCCGAAGGAAGCTGCCTCAAAATTGCGACAATTGGCAGCCGAAGGAAGTGCAGCTCTAAGAGCGCTTGGAATATTGTCTGTGCAACTCGAAGGCGATACTGTGATATCTTTACGTTTAGTGGGACAAGAAATTGTTTTAAGAACAGAAAGCGGTAGGTTTTAATCAAGTTTAGAACTTTCATCCCAAGAGAAACGGCCAATATGTTTATACGCTGTCTATCCGCCAAAAATACACTACAATACATATTCACGCTTATTGGACGCCGAATTGAATATATATATTCTAGTGTATATTCGGTGTATTCTTCAGCGTGAAACATATTGAAACATATTCTGATGGTCATGAATGCATTCATTGTTTCAATATGTTTCACGCTGAAGAATACACCGAATATACACTAGAATATATATTCAATTCGGCGTCCAATAAGCGTGAATATATATTGTAGTGTATTTTCGGCGGATAGACAGCGTATAAACATATTGGCCGTTTCTCTTGGGATTAGTTTTCTTTCGATAAAGTCCATTGTTCGATTGTTCAACGGTTGTTGTTTTCTCTCTCTCTCTCTCTCTCTCTCTCTCTCTTGGGCTTACAGAAAATGCACCAGCACTGAATGGCCAGAATCATAATAGTGCAGCAGCCAATGATTTTACAAATTTACTTGCACGTGTGCCTACACCACAGAACAATCAGCAGTCACAGCAAACCATATGTGCCGGGAGTGGAGAAGGTCCGAGCGGTTTATCGACGGCCATAAAGCAGCAACAGCAGCAGCAGCAGCATCAAATCATTCGAATGAATTCGATTGATCCATCGGTAGCTATGAATGGGCCAGTTGATGCAAAGGCCATTTTTAAATCGCCCAACACAATTTGTCCCATGGATGGCAAACTACCAACGCCAGTGCCATCAAATGTAGTCGATTCGCGTGAGTATCCATTCGAAAGTATGACACAGGCGCGTGTCATTCAGAGACGAGAGAATACGATGGGCCAACAGCAGATACAAAATCAGCCACAGCAGCAGCAGCCACCGCAACCGCCTCAACAACAGCCATCATTGCCGCACGTTAGGCCAGCCACTGATCAGCAAGCGCCACCACCGCCTCCATATCCGGGAGCATCGCCGACGCGAAATGCCAATGTGAATATGATCAATACACATATAGTCACAAATAAAATAGCACTGAATCAGCAAGCCACGACATCGGGCAATATTGCAATATCGAGCCCATTGCTTGTGAATCTGTTGCAAAATGAATCAGCGTCCACGTCGAATGCACCGCCCAAATCGATTATATCGGCGAATGCGCCAACAACAATCGTTAAAAATGGCCAAGAAATCGTAATATTGAGCAATAATTCGATGCCACCGCAGCATCAGATGCAGCAACAAGTGAAGCTTACACCGAACTATATTCCAAACAGCAGTGGCACGGAACTAGGTTTTAATAAATGTGTAGTTAATAAGCAAACGATACAATCGCCCAGCCCACACCATCAAATGCGTGTGCAGCAGACATTTGTGAATGTGTCGTCCGTTCAAACGGTTCAATCGACAATCAATGAGTCAATACAGCAACAGCCGCTGCAGCTACCGCCACCATCGCCGTTGCCACCGCAGCAGCAACCAACTCTCATACATAGCAACAATAATAATGCAAAAGGTAAGTGCCGTTTGTCCCATTTGAAATTACTTAACTTTGATACGGTTCACATTTTAATGCGGTGCAATTATTCGTCTTTTTTCTGCGTCACACAGATAATAACAGCGAAAGAAATCTAAACAATAGTAATGTATTAAGCACAGTGCCACAACAAGCAAATAGTATCATAATCGCTGGTAATGCTACTACAGTGCCTTCGACAATAAATAGCGTGAACAAAATTCAATCGAGATATCCTCAGCCGCAACACGCGATACCACCTCAGTTCCAGCAACAGTTTGCGAACCAATCACAAATCAGAGCCACCATGATATCTGCTCAAAATGCTAATCAACCACCCGCAGCACCACCACAAAATCATCATCCAAATCAACCGGTTAGTTGTCGAGTTAGCAATTTAATGTGTATGAAATAAATTTAAACGTGTTTTATTTCCTTTTACAAATGCAGCCAATGGCAAATATGATATCGATACCACCAAATCAAATAAATACATCACCGCAAACGATACCCGCTCAAGTCGTGTTACAGAAGCAGCAACAAATGCGTGCAATGCATCCAAATATGGTTGCTCAGCAGCAGCATCAGCATCAGCAACAGCCGCCACAACAACAACAGCAAATGATTGGTGCCAATATTCATCAGGTCGAATTCCGGCAGCCCGCCCCAGCTAACATCATTTTACAACAAAACCAAATGCAATCCAATCAGATGCAACAGTTCCAGCAGGTAAATTACGATGCATTTTTTTTCTCGTTCATTTCTAAGATCAAAATACATCAAACAGAAAACTGATAATAATAACAATGCCTTTCTCGTTATTCATTCGCATTACAGCAGCAACCTCAACAAATGATGCAACCGCCACAAATGATGACGGGAAATTCGATACAATTTAATACGCCAATGGGATCTCAGCCACCATCAACGCAGCCACAAATGGATCAGTCATCGTTTAACGCTCGGTGGCCATTGAAGCCAATGGATTCGGCAACGCAATCCAGTTTTCAAGAGTTCACACGATATCAAATGCAATATAATTTAAGTCAGCAACAACAACACGCTGAACCCGAAGATTCATTAGCCGATCAGTTGGCCGATCTGGATGAAATTACACGAACCGATTTGGAATCATTGTTGCCCGGCATAAATGACTCTGATTTGGACTCAGCCTTGGGGTTGGATATGAAAGCGCCATTAGAATCATTACTCGATGCAAAAGACTTGGAAGATTTAATCGATCCATCGGTGGCAAATGATGCCATCGATTCGAATCCGTCGACCACAGCTGCCGTTTTGAGCGGAACTGGTATTCCGCCGACAAATGTCACCACCAATCAAGTAATTGGCTTGCCACAACAAAACCCGAATCTTATGCAGTTTCAACAAAATCAAGCGAAAATTCCAATGCAACACCAGCATCAGCAGCAGCAACATCCATCCGTCGAAGCGAATATGAATCACTTCAGAGCGACGCCAATGGATAAAAGACCCATGCATCCACATCAGATGCAGCAGCAGCAGCAACAACAACAACAACAAACGAACATAATGAACGCATCGATGAATGTTCCACCACAATCACCGATGCCGCCGATGAATATTCAAAAGTCAGTTCAACATCAGCAATACATGGCGGCTCAGCATAAGTTCGACCAAAAAATGAAGAAGCCATTGGCTGGAAAGGAAAAGCAGGTTCTTATTAATCCGTCGACTGGTGAGCTCGAACCAATTCCATCCGAAGAGTGTGGCGATGAGCTGGCAACCACCAATGCCCTGACATTATTCAGTGAATTCAATGCGGAAGCATCGAATTCCATGTACTCGGACGATGATAATTCGTGTAGCACTTTCTCGAAAGCATCGGATCATAGCGATAATGATCGATCAAGCAATTCGGATTACTCGGGCAAGGGCAAAGCATCGGGAAAACGCAAAGAGAAAAAGGAATCGATAAAAAAGCCAAAAATTCCAAAAGAAAAAGGCCCAAAAGGTGGTTCACTGTTGAAGGAGAAACTGCAGCAGAACATGAAAGAGAAAATTATGGGCAAAAATAAGGAGAAAAGTAAAACGAAAAATTTGCCATCGCCCATCATTTCGAATGCGACCATTGCCGAGACAAGCGATAAAAGTAATCCGGAGAAAATTAAATTGCGTTTGAAATTAGAAAAATCGGAACCAGTGACACCAGCGTACAAGGTTGATGTGAGTTTTGGTGACACTTCGAAACGCGCTCAAAACCCATCAACTCCAACTGTATCGTCAACATCACATACAAATGCTTCAGCCAATCCGATGAATAGTTCAACATCGACGGGAAATGAAGAGCTACGTGTACCGCCGTTGCATATTAGTTTACGTGGCCGAAATTCGGTTGTCATCAAAAATTCGAAGAAAGGTCGAAAGAAATCTCAAGGTGGTGGTGCTGCTGCTGCTGATGATGACAACAACAAAAAATCAAATAGCAAAAAGTCTTCGTCAAATGCGATGAACACAACAAATATCACATCTAATGTGGATTCGGCCCAATTCACAAACAATATAAACCGGTTACATCACAGTACCAACGCCAACGAAAGTGCAACAAATTGCAATGCAAATGCTGCGCCTAGTAGTACGGTGGATCATTTTGTAGACAGCTCGCGGATTGGATCGTTAACAGCAGATAGCGTTAGCAATCAACCGGAGAAAATGGATCAATCAAAACAGTCGGAGGTAGCGAAGCGATTGAGCAATGATTTAATTGCTTCAACAAATGGACCAATTCACGCAGAAAAGAAGCGTCGATTAAGTCAAAGCTCAATTGCGCCTACGGCGACGACGATGGCCAACAGTCAAGATATGCCAATTCCATCACCTTCAATAACGGTCGGAACCACTTTGATTACATCAAGAAGCTCGTTGATGCCGATGACCGATAATTCGGTTGAGTCAATTCGAGAGGCGATCGGGTCGACGAATGTCGGCACACTACCGAAGCATTCGTCGTTAACACCGTCAAAAGTACAAAAAAGCACCAATAATAATAACAACAGTTTAACGTTAAACAAAGTCAAACCAGCGAACAAACTGAAGACCAAAACACTGATCAATATGCTCAAACAACAGACGGATCCACCGATTGCAGCGAATCAGCAAGATCACTCAGTAGTCGATAAAATGAAGCCAAACGATGTGTTGCAACTGGATGCCATTATGGGCGATCAAAGTAGCCAAAAATTTCGTGAATCCATCGTAACCGGGGACGATTCAAATTCCAAAAACAATCAAATTGAATTGAGCTCAAATGCCGTGACAAACAACAGCGACGACGGTAACGTGGACAAACCGTTGCACCAGTCGCAAAATCAAGGGTCATTCAATAATGTTGATATGAAACAAGACGCTGCGATGGAAATAAACAGCAACGATTCGGATGTGAAGAGCATTGGAAATGGCAATGATTCGAGTCAGAAGCTGATAACAACAGCAACGACCACACCACCATCATCAACAAATCTGCCATTTGTCAATCAATCGAATGAGGCAAAAGATTCGCCGCGTCGTGATATCATTGATGGAATAATAAATGCATCACAAGCAATACGCTGTTCGCCCGCCTCTCAAGCACAAGGCGAAGATAGTGGCATCGAATCAATGGATGCACTGTCGGAAAAGAGTCCACACCAAACAGCTAGTCCACAAACAAATTATGTGAAACGTGCTGACAGCCCAAAAGACAGTGTTCAAAAAACGGCCGCCGTTGCGGACGATACAGCGGCTACATTGCGCGAAAACATATCGGTCGATAAGTATTCGAATATCGAAGCGACGCTGGCCAAAATGGAAGGTCTGAATGAGTTTATAACAAGTGACTGTGATAAAAGTGCTGTTCAAGTCGATACGACATGCGACAGTCAAAAGATGAATGGTGAACATTCGACGCTGGAAAATGATGACAACCCAGTGAAGCTATTGATGAACGATCTCGTCGCACCGATTCAAGAGAAAACGGAAGAAAACCTATTGGCCGCACTGAACGATGATGAGTTGATGAAAAAATCCACCGAAAAAGACTCCATTGCCAATTCGATCGATGTGAATGAGATCAAAGACTTGAATGAAAATCAAACGACCGTCGTCGATGTATTGGATGCAAAGAACAATGTCGATGAAATATCCACAAAAATTGCCGACAATACCAGCGATATCAAAGGGCAGCTCACTCAAAATGAAATCCCTAATAACGAAACGAAAACAAACACAGTCGAATTGGTAAATTGTGAAACAACAACAACACCACAAATTCCTGTGTCTCAAGAAACAAACAACACTGATTTGGTGGAAAAGAAGCCAAGCGAACCGATGGAACAAGAATCAATTCAATTGACCACCGAATCGGATCAAACCATCACGAATGATATCGATCTCAAATCTGAACCGGCCAAATCCGACGAGGACAAAGAGATTGAAGATACGATGAAATCCATGGAAGTCGATTTAAATGAACCAAAAATGCTGCAGCAACTCTCCATTGAAATACCATCCAATGAAAATGACAACGCACAACGAGTTAAAACGCGTGCAAGCAGCAAATTAGAGAGTCCATTGGATGCATTGAAACAATCGCCATCAAATTCACCGGCCGGTTCAACGCGATCGCTAAAAGCGGCCAAACGAAAACGTCAAGAATCTGAAAGTTCAACGCAGTCAAGTGTAAGTGATGATACGCCGATTAAAGCAAAAAAGGCTCGAAAAAGTGGAGATGTCACAGCGTCTAGTTCAACCGCATCTAGTTCAACATCATCGTCTCCAACAACCGTACGATCTGTAGGTCAGGCGAAAGCAATGATTTTGGTGAACACAATGACTATGCCAATTTATAATAACGATTCAGAAAATACGATGAGTCGAAAGTCAGAAGACTCCTCCGATTCGGATGAACCGTTGATCGAAGTGGCGGGGAAAGTGCGCAACGCAAAAATGAGCAAAACCACAGCTGATGCGGACAAAGCGCTGCAAAATCATCAGAAATCATCGACAACGGCCACCGGTGTTGATCAACAAATGGCAAACAGCACAAACAATGTATCGCATTCCAGTGGCGATGGTCAAGCGAAACCGGGCCAACTGCCAAAGGGCACTGACGATAAGAGCAGCGCAATGAGCACACGTCGAAGTGTACGAATGAACATCGGAACGAAAGTGGCTAAAATGACTATCAATCAGTCAATTCATGGTGCGACGAATCTCAATTCGAATGAAAATCACAATGATGCTCGTAAAAGTGGCAACGGGCCATCGGTCAACTCAATAAATAGTACCGAATCAACTTCATCAATGGACGCACGTCGCAAAACTCGTAGCACAGGTAAATTATTAGATGCTTCCTCTCCATTGACACTCTGATCGTTGAATAATAATTAGAATTCGTTTTAGGCTTGGATACGGTCGGCAGCGGTGAAGGACGAAGAAGGCGATTATCTCGTGATAGCAAGTGACACAGAGCATGCGTCTCCGATGACCAATTGGACATTGATGAGACGCATTTGATTGCAAACAATGAATATTTCGAGGTGTCACTCAGCAACAGTGATGACAATGAAAACTCCATCCACTTCATCGATAGCAATCGCGAATTTGAGTGCATTGAAGAAGAGGCCATTTCACAGCCAGACACAGAACATCACGGCGGAGACGACGACGACGACGACGATGAAGACGACGAAAATGCAGAGAATTACTACACCATTGAAATTGAAGATGATTTCGACACGGATTTTGAAAAGGATTCACTTATTGCGTGAAATAAAACGATGAAACACAAACAAATTGAGTCTGTAGAAAGAAAATTGTGATCAGTGAAAATAGAAAGCATTCGTCGTTATGCAAACGATGTGCTTTATTAAAATGATCCATTGAAGAAAAGAGAAAAACATTAGAGAAGAGAAAATATGTGTGTACTCTGCACATGTACGTGTTACTATGAGTAAAAAGTGAAATGACAAAAACAAACATACTTAAGTGACAGACAGAAAACAAAGCATGTTTCAAAATAAATGACGAAAAAGAGAAAAAAAAAAAAACGAAAATTATGAAGTTGAAAACAGCAAATCAATGCAAAGTAACACACATACACTGGCTGAAGATATCGTTAAAATATAAGGACAAATAACAAATTGTTGATGTCATTTGAAAAAAAAGCATAATATATACATACATCCAAAAAAAAAAAGATGAACATTTATCTAAATAGAAATATGAAATACATAAATTTACTGCAACAGTAAAACACAAACGCATGAGATATGAAAAAAAAAATGATGACTAAACGCTAAGAGAAATTAAAACAAAAATAAAAATAATGAAAAAAAGAAAAATATTATGCAAGTTATAAGGATTAACAATAAATTTAAAATGTTTTTATTAAGATATAACATATAGAGAAAAAGTGTCTTATATATGTAAAAGAAGAAGATGAAAAAAAAAAACAACACAGATGATGATAATTAACAGCAAAATAAGAAGAAAAATAGAGAAAAAAGGAGATAAAAAGAGATGCATAAAATTGTAATATTACACACTTTAAATGGAATATAGTATTTTTTTATATTTGCTGGTCGTCGGAAACGAGGGAGCTAAACAACAACAACAACAACAAACAAATATAAACAAAAATCAGCAGACATGTTGAGAGTCCGGTGGAAAATTTGAATTACACTCACACCACAACACACCACACCACACATATACGTATGTTCCACAAAATCACAATCGGCGAATGAATGGCAAAACAAATGTTATTGTTTTGGAAATGAAAAAAACATATGAGTAAAATCGCATAGAAAACACACTGTTTATTACAATGTACACATAAATTTAAATGTGTTCATAAAAGACTAGCATATTAGTATTTGCCTGATAGGCAAAGCCAATCCACATCCATGAAATATATTAAACTCACTTATCAAAAACAAAAATTACTATGTTGTCAACGCTTTCGTTTTTGTTTTGTTTTGTTTTTTTTTTTTTCATTTCCTTTTCTCATTCATTCTTCAATTTTTGTTGTCAGAATGGAAATAGACTTGGGATGATCTGAACAAAAACAAATCAAACACCACACAATTTGATGAACGAATGAATAATTAGGGATTTATGCAATTGACCAAAATATTTATAGAAAACAAAAAAAAACACACACACACACACAAACATAGTACACGTACTTTGAAATACTGATAAAGAAATAATGAAAAAAAAAACAAACAAAACAAAAACAAACATAGGCAGAATTGCCTACAATTATGTAGCATGTTGTAGTGAAACCAAATTTTATTTGATTAATACATACGTTTTTTTCTCAATTAATTTTTCCATTAGCACACCCGTTGTTTTTTTTTTCGTTCTTTTCATAGATTCCAACTTTCTTGAACTCACAATAGATGATGCTTCTCAATAGAAATCTCTAGAAATGGGAAAGAAAATTCGGTGGTTCGATAGAAAAATAAATTTTCCGATCAGATTGATATTGTTGTGTGAACCTCAAGATCTGGGCTAGCATTTAAGTGGTGTAAAAAGTACAATAAACGCAGACGCATTTTATACAATATTTAGTAAAAAAAAAAAAACAAACAAACTTCAACAATTTTTTTGTATGGGTTTTTTTCCGTTTGGGTTTTTTTCCGTTTCAAATCCATCGCATCGTGCATATTCACATCCGACTGAATTTTGATCATTCTCTATCTGTCTGTTTGAACGAAGAATAAACGTCGTACAAATTATTTAGAATAAAACTGAACTGGAATAATTTCAGTCATTTCACATCAAAACCAATCTGCAGCCTGACAAAAAAAGAGAAACAAACAAAAGCGTAGTAAAAAAAAAAATTACAACATAAACAAATGTATAAAACAGAGTGGCTTTTACTTAGGAAACAATGGACGAAATATGTAATTGTAATCCAAATCCCCTCTTGATGAACACTGGCCTTTGAGCAATTCTATTTTACTGAAAACTGCATTGCCAAACAAAACATGGTAGATGAAAGTGTGCGAGATGACAAACATAGTTTATAGAATTACGAATTTCCACCCTCGTTAATATATCATGGCACGTAGAACGAAGAGAGACATAGTAACTGTTAACAAAGAAAATAAAATAATGGAATGCTCACACAAACACACACACACATACAACACACTCACTCACTCACTCAACCATACACACATAACATTATATATCCTTTAGTTCGTCTATTCGATTTCTCTAATTCTCCTTTGATTTCCGCGTAGAATTGCGTGACTTTCAGCAAGACATGAAACATTTACTGAATGCAAACAACAACAAGAAAGAAAACAAATTTCTTCTTTATTACATTATCATCATAATCATTAACTTTAAAGAATTATTATTGAAAAATATATATTTAAAAACGAAACACATTTAAATAAAAAAAGAAAGTTTTACGGAAAACATTATTTAAATCGATTGTGTATTTTATTTGACATTGTTACAAAGAGAGAAAAAAACATGAGAATCTTAAATGTATTTGTTCAAACGAGACGGTAATGTGTATTGTAAGGCGATGGTGAATTGATTGGCGCATCAGATCGGAGATGTGAATGTATGAATGGTTTAAACATTTCCTTGAAGACATTCATCCAAGTGCTGATTAATTTGATTCGCATCAACTAGTGTGTTGCATACAGGACACGGGAGTTTTTCAGGTACGGGACTGTTGCTTTCGTCATCAAGTGTAATCGTTTCCATTTCGTTGTTTGTCGTGTGCTGTGTTATGACGGATGTGGTACGTCGCTGACGCTCATCTTGTGCCAATTCGTCCATAATTCGATCGTTGTATTCTTTGGCTTCACGAGTTTCGGCATTCAAGCGATCGATTTGCTCTTGTGTATAGCCGGCTTGAAGCAACAACTCGCGCTCGTTTTGATCGATACGTGCTTTCGACTGAACTGACGATTGGCTTGTCGATGGTTTCACATGGTTCTTATAGAATGGTAATGCTTTCGTCTTAACGCCTCGTTTCCGCGGATTCACTTTAACTGTAATACCATTGCAACCGTCCAAATGACAAGTCAGTTCGCCTCGAGCCATTTGGTCTTCGCAAATTGGACACGTTACAATTTCCATATTTGAATTGCCCACATTTTCCGGATCACTCATCACAACATTGTTGATGTTATTGAAATCGGACATCAGTGTGTCGGTACCTGTTGAAAGACAGTGGAATCATTAGTTTCCGTGCGGATATTGGGAATATGAATTTATTACCGAAAATCTCATCGATAACCGTGGTGTCAGTTAGGATGTCCAAGCTTTCGTTAAGCGTATCATCAAATTCGCCATCAATCATTTCAATATTTTCATCTTCTTCGCCCAAATCATCCAACAGTTCTTTTTTTATTGAGATTTTCGGCTTGGTTTCATTTGTGGACTGTATCACAGTTGCGACAGCACCAGCATCAAACCCATCATTGCTGCCATCATCAATTTCAATGACTGTGTTTTGAACTGAATGGATCAGGATGTCATCATCAATTTCTTCCCAAGCACTTGTCGATTCGATGACCTTCGGTTTTTTGGTGGGCCGATCGGCTTGGGATTTGGATTCGGATGGGTCATTTTTCTTGTCGTTAAACTTATTTGCCCAAAAATTTCGAATATTTTCGGACGGTGAAACGGTCGATGACGTGTTGACAGATGACGATCCGAGTACAAAGCCACCCGATTGGAATGTCGGTCTTTGAATAACGCTTGTGCCTGTGCCTGTGACAAACAGAAAAAACTCATTGGAAAAAATGCATAATGTCAAATCCAACATTGAAGCAACATATTTCGAATTACCCGAATCATTCAAATCACGAAAACCAACAACGTTACGCAGATTACCGCCAGCCGTCGCATCCGAGACGCTGCTCAAAATGCTGCCTACATTGTCCAAAGTGGTTTGTGTTGAAGTTTGATTTTTGGCAGTTGGTTTAAGAACAACAGTGCCGCCGCCGTTCATTTTTGTGAAACCACCACCAGCCGGTCTAGCCGATGGTGGATTTGTAGTTGTTCCCTTTGATGGAATGGCATTTGTTTTTGACGAGTTCAACCAGTCGGTTATTTTTGGCAATTTATTATCTTCCACTTTAGCTTTCTTCGCTTTTGTCTTTGGTTCCGGTGCCGATACTTTGACGAATGTGCCTGCACATGTTTCATGATGTTTTGCCCACCAATTATCATTTGGCCCGGGCGCTCGATTTGACGTACGCTTGACCCAGCCATAAAACGGCTTTCGATGCTGGCAAATGCCATTGCAACGCCAAATGTGTGTTTTGTACAATGCAACCTCATCGTGGAATGTGTGATAAACGGTGATATTTGTACCGGCTGTTCGATTGATGCTCTCCATGATTCGTTTGAAATTTGGTCCATGGCCACCATTTCCTTCGCGAATGTTGAGAACAAACAAATAAGCGTGAATCATCTCATGCTATTGGAAAGTTAGACGAAACAAAAAACAAATCAGCAAAATCGCATTGGACATTCTATTGCATATTATTTTCTATTTACCAGCATTGTTTCAATCAAATCACGTCGACTGCGTAGCTTCAACAACGGTTCGCTGAGTCGAATTATGATTGATATACCCAAACCGTTGCGACGTTGATAGCATATTCCCGCGCACTGATACATGCGTTTGCTCCATTCCAATTCAACGCACTGCAACTTTCTCTGGAAAAACTTGATGTCAAACTGTCCGAACAGCGAAAAAATGTCCGGTGTTGGGTCAATATTTTCCCAGTCTGGATGTACGAGATTCTGTGTTGCATTCAATACATTGTCAACTTCTTCGTTTTTTCGCTTGTTACAACCAATTGGAGCGGACCACTACAACAACATGTAAAAAAAAGTCATTCGCACTGTCGTAACAACAGGTTTACGCAATAACAATGATTTTGTAGAAAAATTACACTGATTTACTTACGTCATTTGCTGCAGTCTCCTCTTCAGCATCTAATTGATTTTGCAATTGCAACGCAAATAGATAATCCTCGTCGTGTGCCATTTTTTTTTTTCTTGTTGTTGCGAAATTTAAATCATTCTGTGAGTGAGCGTTGTTGTGACAGCATTTGTTGTTTCGTTTTGACGTAACTCAGCGCGCTTTTTGAGGTTATGGTGAATGTTTGAATACAAAACAAAAACATTCAATATTGACACACGATTACAAATCAAACACCAGATGGCGATTTTTCGCAATTGACGCGCTTTATTTGAAATGAATACAGAAGACAAACGAGAGTTGGTTAGAAAATAAAATTTTAATCGGAATTGATATTTTTTGAAGGTGATTACTCAAAGTTGATAAAATATTCCATTTTTCAAGTCATTTTTCATTTCCGATTATAGGTTGATGAATCATCAATGATGATCCATGATATGAATCAAATTAGCCGTTTGTTTGACATCAAATTAAATTACATCCAACATAACATATGGATAAAACATAAAATACTCACTTCGATGTTCGCTAGAAAACAAAGCCATACAATGAATGTAAAACCACATATTTTGATATAATTTTCAATTTTATATTTTATTTTGTCTTTGACTTTTTTGCAATTATTTTTAGTTTTTTTTTTAAATTTTGTTTGAAATTCACAGAAAAATAATTGTTTCATTCTACAATGTTTTGGATTTCTATAACAATATTTAAATTGATTTTATGTGGAAATAGCAAAAATATATGTATATTTTATATATATATGATTGAATCTTCTACTAATGCATTTGTGTGTTCATAGCTATGATCTATGTTATCGTGTATTGCTGTTTTTTTTTCTCTGTATAATCGTTTGGAGTACATTGATGAATTACTAAGCTATTGTAATTATGGTGTAAGATGTAGAGTAGTTGTATCTCAATTCTACCGGAAAATTTCAACATTGATTACTCTATTCAAATTTTCGATGTGACAATTCGTTTATACTTTTTGTTCAACATCATCACTTTTGTTCGACCATAATATCCTGATCATTTCGAATTAAAATGTGTTTCTTTATTTCTAATAAACGTAACCATCTTTTCAATTCTTTTAAAAAGAAATTTTCTCCTTTTTTCCATGCTTATTCGTTCGGTCCCATTGTTTCCACTCGTTCACTTCCTTAGTCATTAGGTTAAGGCGTTCAATCTAATTTAATATAATGCTATCATAATGGTCTCTATAAAAAAAATACACATGCAGATGTTCATAAATATATTACATTTAATAAAATCCTAATTCAAATGGGAGAAAGAAATATCTACAACGTTTAATGTATATTACGTAAATAGATTTTGTTTGTTTTTTTCTTCATTTTTTTTTTTTTTGGTAAAACAACTAAAATCACATTATGATTGCTGCAATTGAATGAAAAGTGTGTGTTTTTGAAGAAGACAAGAATAATCATAATAATTTTAATTCAAACTAAAATTACTTTGTTTGAATATTCCGATTAAAATGTGGAAGAAAATTCGAAGCACTTAAGATCCAAACATTAGATAGGCAAAATTAGTATTTCATCAATTATGACTTCGATTCATGCATTTGTTTCCCTAATTATTAATTCAAAACCTCTGACTCCAGAGAATAATATTGATTATTTTAATTTTTTTTAGTTAGAATAGAGTTTTAAAGCGTGCAATAGTTGAATTATAAGTGCTGTTCTTTCTTTTTATTCACAAGCAAAAGAGATAATATTCTGGAAATGGTGAAGATTCTACTAACAAGTGCAATTAGAAATTCAAAATGTAAATTATGTGCATTTGATTAATAATTGTAGTTGTCTAAAGCTTGAAATTCTAAACGTGTGAATAAGTTTGACTTAATTTGAACGGAGTAGGAGTTCTTTATTAAAACCGAAAGAGAAAAATAATAAAAATGTCGGAAGAAACTTTGTCAATTGTTGAATATCAATCGAATGTTCGACACAATTATGACAATGGTTTGCCTTTATAATCAATTTAAAATTTTAAAATTACAAACAGCAAATGACCAGAAAGTTTGATGTCCAAGTGTTTTCTCTTTATATTTTGGTGATTGATTCTTAAAACACAATAATTCGCAAAAAAAAATCTGTCTTGTTAAGAATGTTTCACTAAAAACCGCATGGTAATTGATTTGGTTGGTTAAGTGGATCAAATGGAAACACCTAGTACATCAAAATATATATATATTGCTCACAATGTAATTATAATCTCATTTGATAGTGTTCGAATTCGAAACGAATAAAATGTGACAGAGACCAACAGATACTGACGACTAATATAGCCGCTGTTATTTTCTCTAACTAAAGATGCATAAATATGATTTACTTGAAACCATTTCCATCGTTTGTGTCAATGGAAATGTATTTATAATGTCGTGGTGTTGGAAAACTGAACGATTGGCGGAAGAAATCTGAGTGTTTCTTTGTTTTTCTCTCTGTTTTAAGTCTTACTTTATCGATATCTCTCTAAATTGTAATTGTATAATCATATCGATCTCATCTTCGTTTTCCAAAAAAAAAGAGAATATTTTCACATATAACAAAACTAAAAATAAAAACGATTCCCCCCATCGTTAAAATAAATGCTCACAGTTTGTTTCATCCAATTGTTTTTTTCGCACAAATCAGTGCTTAATCATGCTTGATAGTTTTCATTCAAGTGTTTCTGCAATTTACATCACTATATTTTTCTTCTAGTTTACATAGGACTGGTTAAGCGAAAAGGCAATGTAATCATGATAATATGACATATGGCAAGGATTTGTATACTTTTTCCCTTCTCTCCCTCAACATCTCTCTCTCTCTCTCTCTCTCTCTCTCTCTCTCTCTCTCTCTCTCTCTCTCTCTCTCGAAGAGAGAGAGAGAGAGAAAATGCCAATCGAATAATACAAACAAAAGTGTAAAATGTTGCCATTTTCTGTTGCGAGTGTGTTTGGAAAAAGAATAAAAAGCACTACAGTATAATTTCTTTGCTACCTGATAATAGGGTGTCGAACCGTGGATAGATAACGACACTGTTGCTGTCAACTGAATCCGTTTGCTTTCTCACGACGGTCTTAATTTTTTGCTTGCCATTCAATGTGTTGGTGCATCTGGTGATTGTTTGCTGAATAAGCTGATTTAAATCAATTGCTGGCCACGTAGCCAGCGTACCACTTCGTCATAACACCGTTTTAATATGTTCATTGTTGTCATTGCCATGGCCTAAGTGGATGTCATTCTCGGATATTTCATCGTAGCCATTGGCCTCTTGCTCTTCGCTGGATGGAATGAACATTATGTCAATTTTATGTGAATCTTTATCAATGTTGATCTCTCGATCGCTGGGCATTTCAATTGGTCTAGCTAATGATAATGATGATTTTCGAGATGTCATTGATATGTTGTCACTATTTGGATGTGGATGATTCGACTGTGGCGGTGATAAATTGTTGACTCCCGTTCCGTTTAAATCAATTGATTTTTCATCATTTGGTTCGCTTTTTGGATGAAGTGAAATGTGGATGATGTCATCATTTTTAATTGCAGTTAAACTTGATTGATTTGCATTGTAGTGTGCATCTGCCGCCGTCGTCGATGATGGTTGCGGCGGCTGCTGTTGAGCTTGATGGGGGGCAAATTGCTAGTCTCCTCTATGAACATTCCGTGGTTCAGTATTCTTGCGATACCAGAACACTTGGAACAGAATTGCCAAGTCTAAACTGACCTACTCAAACAGGAACGAAAGGGAAAAGCGAAAAGAAACATGCACAATATAAGTTATAATACTTTCGTCAGATAAATGGGTGGAAATAAAAAGGAAGAGAGAAAGAGAGACGACAGCTCTTCAACTTACTTGTAATGTGCCACATATCCAGAATTGCATTGGCGCATGTCTGAATATAAAGTAGCAAGTCTTGAACATATCACCGACCGTCCACAACGCAACCATCATTATCGACATGCCTTGAGTCGATTTATTCTTGAAATTCCGTAAAAATTGCGGAGCGCCTTTAGAGAATAGAAAACAATTAATGAAATATCCATTTTTTGCCCGTTTCTTCCTTTCTACGGACCTATTGTTAAGCAATTTTTTTTTTCATCTTGCAAGAAGAAGAAAAAAAAATGAGGAAAAATGTTTTCTCGATAGAGATGGTGAACATAAAAATAGTATCAAACTAAACATACCCAGCATAGCTTCGATGAACACAGCCATAAAACCAACCGATTCCATGAAAAAAGTGAATGGCAGCATAAAGTATGTGATGATAGCTCCAACAAACCACACCGCGAGCATAAAGTCCAAATATGATTGGAAATCCGTCCATGCCCAGAAGTACTTCGGATCGAAATCTAGATCATTCGAAATGAAACAAACAAACGAAAAAATGTATTGAATAGGCTTGAATTCTGTGAATAATCACTATGTTTCAGATAACAACTATCTGCATTTTGACTCATATATATTTTACAAGAAACCAACTAATTTGTATCACTTCTAAGTAAGAGTGAGCAGATATAATTTTATTATCATTCACATTTAGATTTACCGACAACAACAACAAATCCGTAAATCAAGTAATCTGACGGAAAGTGCATGCAATCAACGAATTTATCTATACAAAATATCAAATGCTATGTAGCACTTTAACACGAAGCGATGAAAGGTCATCAAACTCTTCCATCCAATTGAGTGGATTGAAACGTTTGCATATTATTAAAAATGAATATCAAATTAGAAGTTCGTAAGCCAAGAATGAATGACTTTTGACAGTGTGTGTATGTGTGTGCGGCGGTGTTTGATTGGGGTAATCAATGTGAAGCAAACAACGAGACGCCCCCGTAAACAATGAATCAATAATTCAGATTGAAAACATTTTTCTTTCGGTATAACGGTAATTGCGGCAATTTTCCTTTGGTTTACGTCTATCATCACCCAGCACAAGTCCTTCGGTGCCATAGTAAATGTATCAGATTGCGTTTTAGTGTCGGTTTTAGATTCTTCTTTTTTTTTATTTTCACATTGATTCCATTGATTGGATTTTCATTCACTATTTTAGCTTCACACAAAATAATTGGTCGGATCAATTATGTAACATGCTCAAATGTCGACACCGTTGATTCGATAAACTTCTTGATTATTCAAAAGTATTGAAGAAACAACAGGGCAAACGAAATCGAATGAAACATTTATGAGTTGAGTCATTTTCCACAGAAAAAAGAAATGCCAAACACAACCGTCAGAGAAATAATTGATAA